GCCCCGCCTGCTCCGTCCGCGCTGGTACCAGGCCTCGTTAAACACCGCTGCTCCAGCCGCCATGGACCACGTGAAGTTGAAGTTAGGGAAGCTACTTATAAAACTTTTTAATTTTCTCGGGAAAAGAGGATTAAGAGTATTAAAAGGGAAACTGCAATCTGTAGAACCGGAAGCAAAATATCTTGGACACTTAATAAGCAAGGGTAGCCGAAAGTAAAACCCCGAGAGGTTTGCAGAAATTTTATCTCTTCCTCCTCCCTCTTCAAAAAATTAGAAAGCTACTCGGATTATTGGGATATTGCAGACTATGGATTGAAGGGTAATACACAGGCAGTAAAATTTTTGTATGGAAAATTGACCGAGGAAGATGATATAAAGTGGACTGAAGTTAAAACTAGCCTCGGTACCAGCTTTAAGCTTACCCTCATTAGAAAAACCTTTTCGTTTGTATGTGAATGTGGAAAGTGGAGTAGCTCATGGAGTTCTGGTTCAGGAGTGAGGAGGAGCAAAGAGACCAGTAGCTTATTTGTCAAAGGTGTTGGACCCAGTGAGCCATGGCTGGCCAGTATGTATTCAAGCCATAGCAGCTACTGCAAGCCCGGCAGAGGAAAGTCATAAGCTTACTTTTGGAAGTAAATTAGTTGTGTGTACACCTCATGCAGTCCGAAATGCGTTAAACCAGAAAGCTGAAAAATGGTTAACAGACTCTAGGATGTTAAAATATGAAGCAATTTTGATAGACAGTGATGACACAATAGATAAACAAAAGTTTAAGTCCAGCTCAATTTCTATATGGAGAATCAAAAAAACTAATTTGACACATAATTGTTTAGGAATTACACAATACCAAACTAAAATTCGGGAAGATCTGGCAGAACAGCCCCTCTTGGAAGGGGGAAAAAATATATGTTGAGGGTTCCTCCAGATGTTTACAAGGAAAAAGGATGTTGGGATATGCTTTGGTTGATGGAAAAAATATGCAAACCATCGATAGAGGAAAATTACCTTCAAATTGATCAGCTCAAGCTTGTGAATTATATGCTCTAAAAAAAGCACTGGAATATTTAACACATAACAAGGGAACCATATATACTGACTCAAGGTATGCCTTTGGGGTGGTACACACTTCTGGAAAAATTTGGGAAGAAAAGGGGTTACTCAATTCAAAAGGAAAGAGATTGATACATGTGGGTCTCATTTTGGAGGTTTTAGAGGCATTAAAATTATCTGAGGAGATAGCTGTAGTACACATCAAGGGACATCAAAAGGGAATGACCTCAGAAATAAGGGGAAATAATTTGGCAGATCAAGAAGCTAAAGATGCAGCAGAAAATGGGATCAAAAGGGTTATGTTAATTTTGACCCTAAATAAGGAAGAATTGGAAACTCCGAAGTTCAGTGAAGTGGAAGCAAAGGAATTAAGTAAGATAAGGGGAAAGCCAGATGAACCTGGCTATGAATATGCAACGGGCTGATGAATTTAAAGGGTATCTCCAAAACAGCAGGTGTGCTCTTGGCTGAATGCCAAGCACCCGGCTGTATAACCTTTTGTTTTATTTTTTTTGTCTCTTATTGTCTTTTATTAAACCTTTTAAAATCTACCAGGAAAGTGAACCTCGTTTTTCACATTTGGATCATGCAGGTATGTGACTGCCACAACCTCTCCCAACCAGCCACTAACCTGAGATAAGGGCTTCTTCTTCTCTCCACAGTGGATGCCTCTGGTGAAAACCATGTTGGACATGACAGGCATGGGATACTCAAAGACAAAGTCGATTCTCCTCAGCCAGATGGATCCATGACTTAAAAGCTCCGTCATTGTCATCGTTTTTTGGAGGAACTCTGAGGCCAGCTCTTCAAATGGAGAATAAGCAAAATTGCAGCTGAAGGACTTGGAAAGGAGGAAAATTAAACCTCATCCTGTTCCACCCCGCGCCATGAGCAGGGACACTTTCCACCATCCCAGGCTGTTCCAAGCCCTCATCGAGTGTGTCCTTGAACACTTCCACGGACGGAGATCCCACAGGATCCTATGACACCACCTACCCTCACGCTGGGAGAACTACAACTCCCAGCATGCCCCGCGCTGGAACCCGCCCTCCCCGCCGGCCGCGGGTTCCGGCGTGCTTTGCGCGGTGACACACAACAAACATGGCGGCGGCCGCGGAGCCGTGGCTGTAGGGCTGGGCCGGGCACGGTTAGTGAGGGGCGCTGAAGGGTTGGGGTTCGCCGGCCCGGGGGAGACTTGGGCGCTCCTGGAATGGGTTTGTTAGAGGGGCTTTGGAATCTCCTGCCATGGGTTTATTGGAGGGGTTTGGGATCTCCTGTCACAGATTTGTTAGAGGGATTTGGGATGTCCTGTCACAGATTTATTAGAGGGACTCGGAATCTCCTGCCACGGGTTTATTGGGGGGATTTGGGAACTCCTGTCACATATTTATTAGAGGATTTCGGGAATTCCTGCCATGAATTTATTAGGGAGATTTGGGATCTCCTGTCGCTGATATCTTAGAGGTTTTGGGATCTCCTGTCCCAGATTTGTTGGAGAGGTTTTGGGAACTCCTGCCGTGGGTTTATTAGAGGATTTGGGGAACGCCTCTCATAGATTTATTAGAGGAGTTTGGAATGTCCTGCTGTGGGTTTATTACAGGGGTTTGGGGTCGTTTGTCACTGATATCTTAGAGGGCTTGGGGGTTTTCCTGTCACGGATTTCTTAGAGGAGTTTTGGAATCTCATGGGTTTTTTAGAGGGGTTTGTGAATTGCTTGTCATGGAAATATTAGATAATTTGGGGGTCTCCTGTCATGGATTTATTAGAGAGGTTTAGGGATCTCTTGCCACTGACTTATTCCAGGATTTTGGTTTCTCCTGCCAAGGATTTATTCCAGTCTGAGGCCTTGTGCTCTGAGCTGTCCCTGCTCTGTGACAGCACTGGGCTATCCAGAATCCCTTCCAATTGCTATTCCTGTGTGGTTTTTACGGGAAGGAGGATGCAGAAATAAGGAGCGAGGGAGGATTTGGCACTCAAGTGCCTCTCCGGAATGATGGGTGGGTGGTGTCTCCTGGATATGGCCCTTTTTTGGGACAAATCATCCACCCAGGAGCTGCTGGGCATTCAGGGAGGAGAAGAATCTAAATGCTAAAGTGCAACAGGCCTGACTGGAAACAGGAATGAGGGCTGGGAGACAGCTTGGAATGAGTGCCAAGCCCAGGAATTCCATCCAGCAGATTGGGAGGAGGGGCCTTTGCAGAGATTTTAAGGCAGTCAAGAGTTGCATTCAGAGGAGGAAAAGCTGATGCAAAGTGATTTATTTCCTGTTTGTGTTTGTTGGGAAGGTGAAACTTTAAAATCTTTCTGCTTTAATGTCTCAGATGAAGAAGTCCCAGGTGTTTGGAGGACGTGGATAAGGATAATCCAAGGTAGGGGACAGTTCACTTGTAGGAATAAATGACAGCTTTGTGCAAAGTGGAATTGTGGTGGGTTTGATTCTGGTGAAAAATCTGCTCAGACATGTGGTAACAGAAGTGCTTTTAATTCACCCTTTCTTGATACATGAATTGATACTTTTACATGGATTAATTTTTAGAATGACCAGAATAAGGTGGAAAAAAATATAAGCAAATTCTTCAGTCAGGGCTTCCAGGTTTATCTTGGGGGATTTGAGATGGGTGGGTTCAACTGCATTTTTTATAGTAAATGCTTATTTTATCTTTTTAAAGGACTCTTCTGCCTTCACAATGTTTGGGGACTTATTTGAAGAGGATTTTTCCTTTATTTCTAACAACCATTGTGGGAAAGGGAAGAAATCAAAGCCCAGAGAGTCTGAGCCTCCAGCTCCCAGGGATTTCACCAACCTCAGTGGAATCAAAAATCAGGGTGGGACCTGCTACCTCAATTCCCTTCTGCAGACTCTGCTTTTCACGCCTGAATTTAGAGGTGAGGTGCTCAAAACCTTCTTAAAATAATGTTGGGATTGATATTTTAGTGAGACTTGCACTCTTTGTTATTTACTTAAGAAACATAGGGAACTCAGGTGATTTTGGGGCTTGGTTCACTTTAAATAAATTACTGCAGAATAAAATGGTAGTGTTTGACATTAAAATACATTGCATTTTTAAAGAGGGGATGTTGTCTTTTTGGATAATAATTTTTTGCCAATTGCAGAGGCATTGTTCTCCCTGGGACCTGAAGAACTTGGGACTCTGGATGACAGCAGGAAACCAGATGCAAAGGTGGTGGGAATTTTCTTGTTTGTCGCTGTCTGATGTTGATATGGAGGATTATGGTTCCAGTTGATGTGAAACTTATGAAAATGAGTAAAAAAACCTAAATTTGACACTGAGAGGCAGTTTGGTCTGGCTCATAGTGGATTTTTCCCACAATTCTAAGCCTTCATTGTCAAGAGGTTTTGCTTCAGAAACCAGATGTGGTTTCTGTTTCTGCTGAGATGTCCTCCCTCCCACCTCATTCCATCCCATCATGAAGCACTTCAGGAGAGCTGAAGAGGGACTGGGGACAAGGGGTGGAGGGACAGGACACAGGGAGTGGCTTCCCACTGCCAGAGGGCAGGGATGGATGGGATATTGGGAAGGAATTCTTCCCTGTGAGGATGGGGAGGCCCTGGCACAGGGTGCCCAGAGAAGCTGTGGCTGCCCCTGGATCCCTGGGAGTGTCCAAGGCCAGGTTGGACACTGGGGCTTGGAGCAGCCTGGGACAATGGAAGGTGTCCCTGCCCATGGCAGGGGTGGAATGGGATGGGCTTTAAGGTCCCTCCCACCCCAAACCATTCTACTTGGCTGTGTAAGGTGAGGGACTATAGATTTTTGGGAACAAAGTGTGACTGGTATGAATTGAGCAATGTGCATTGTGAAATAGGCAGGAGTATTTTCTCACCAACTTTGTAGGAAATTGCTTCTGTTTTTGTTGACATGTCTGCTTTGAAGGCTGTGTCTGATGTGCTGGCTGTGTTCCCTTGCTGTTGTGCCCAGGTTCGGATAATCCCGCTGCAGCTGCAGCGCTTGTTCGCTCAGCTCCTGCTCCTGGACCAGCAGGCTGCATCCACCACTGATCTCACTGAGAGCTTCGGCTGGAGCAGCCATGAGGTGCCAGTCTCCTTCCCCACACGCTTCTCTCTGCATAGAGATGGGTTCTGGAAGCCTGACATTTAGGAAATACCTTAAAATCCTTCAAGCTGCGGAGATGACGTTGAATTGGGTCAGCTCTTGGTGTGTCCTGTTGGATCTCCACAGGGAGTCCATGGCAGTTGTTTACAGGGAGGAACAGAAGATGACTGCTCTCTTAGATGCAATTCCAGTTGCTTTCCCTTTGTTTTTCCAGGAGTGTTTTTCCAACAGGCTTCTTGTCCTGAGACACTTAGATTGTTAACCACTTTGAACTGTGTCAGTCAGAGATTAATCTACATCTAGGGAATTGCTTCAAATTGACAGGGAGCAGGTTTAAATGGAATATTGGGAAGGAATTGTTCCCTGGGAGGGTGGAGAGGCCCTGGCACAGGGTGCCCAGAGAAGCTGTGTCTGCTTCTGGTCCCTGGAAGTGTCCAAGGACAGGCTGGACATGGGGACTTGGAGCAGCCTGGGATAGTGGAAGGTGTCCGTGCCCGTGGCAGGGGATGGAACAAAATGATCTTTAAGGTCTTTCCCACCCAAACCACTCTGGAATTCAATGATTCTATCCAAGTGAAAGTGTTTTAGGTGGGTTGTAGCATGACTAAATTAACACATGTGTTAGATATTCCAATGGTCTTTTTAGAGCATTTAATATAGGTAGTACTTCAGTACTCAAGGAGTAAATGTATGAGTAGTCGTTAAGACACTGGGACACGTGATGTGTTATTTTTAAGCCATAAGCCAAGCACAGCAGTGTTTCATTCATTCCTGTGTGGATTTTCCTCCTGCAGGAGATGAGGCAGCATGATGTGCAAGAATTGAACAGGATCCTCTTCAGTGCTCTGGAGACCTCCCTTGTGGGGACGTCAGGCCACGACCTCATCAACCGCCTCTACCACGGCATTGTCGTCAACCAGATTGTTTGTAAGGAGTGCAAGAACATCAGTGAGAGACAGGTAAAGCCAGGGATCTTCCACTGGGGGGTACTTTCAGGCTATTGACTTTAAATATTATTGTTTTTGAAGTCCAAAAATAATGTCATCTTTGCTGGGGGCCTTGTTGAATCCAGGTAGTGAGTGTTTAAGTCTTTGGCTGATCTTTGTAAATGAGAGGTAAAAAATGTAAATATTTTGCATCTTCTGCGTTCACAAGCCCTGCCTCTGGTAGATGTAGTTAGCACAGAGTGCAGTGAGGTAACAGCAAAACATATCTTGACAGTTTTTGTGCTCTTTGTAATTTAAAAAAATCAGTTTTTTAAAATTAATTTGTGTGACTGTATGAAGGTTTTTTGCCCATCACTGTGATGAATAGGATGGATGTCTTTCTAATCACCACAAACCTACACCCCTCAGAACCTCCTTTCTCATTGTCCTTTCTACACAGGAAGATTTCTTGGATCTCACAGTGGCAGTGAAAGGCGTGGCTGGCTTGGAGGAGGCCCTGTGGAACATGTACGTGGAAGAGGAATACTTTGAGAATGACAACTTGTATCGATGTGGAGCCTGTGATAAACTGGTTGAAGCTTCAAAGGTAGCACGATGGGATGGGATGGGATGGGATGGGATGATATACGGTTAGATGGGATATTAGGAAAAAATCCTTCCCTGTGAGGGTGGGGAAGCCCTGGCACAGGTTGCCCAGAGAAGCTGTGGCTGCTTCATCTCTGAAAGTGTCCGAGACTGGGCTTGGAGCACCCTGGGATAGGGGAGGGTGTCCCTGCCCATGGCAGAGAGTGGCACTGGATGGGCTTTAAAGTCCCTTCCAATCCAAACCATTCTGGGATTCTATGAAACCTCAGCAGGGATGTCAAGGAAAGCTCCCGTGGCTCATTTCCCAAATGTTGTTGCAGTTTGTTGTCTCTGAGTGTGGTATAATTTGGAGGTATTGACTCATTCAACACCTTTGCTGCACTTTCCTCTGGGTATTTTGGAGAATTGGCCAAAAGAGAAGTTAGAGCATAAAATAAAAATCTGCAATTAGAGAAATCATGGAAACTCAACTTCTGGAGAACCCAAATGAGAGAGAAGAGCAATGAGCAGCTGTTGCTCTGTGCAGGGAATGAGATCTGTTGCTCTGTTTTTGTGGAGGGAAGCAGGCTCAGGTTGTTGGTGAACTCTGACCTGGTCACAGCAGCAGAGGTCCTTGGCCTCCTGCAGGATGGGTGAAATCCAGATCCTGCAGCCCTCTGGATGTGGAGGGAGTAGTTCAAAGGGAAGCTGAGGTCAGGCCCGGTTGATCAGTGACTTGGGAGTTCAGGAACACTCAGCAGTGCCTCGCGTGTCTTGTTGCAAGGGCTGGCTGGGGTTTAACTGGACTGGGTCCAAGGCAATATAGGGCAAGGTCTGCCTCTCACAAGTGCTCACCTATGCAGGAAAAGAGTGGGAACTCTGAATTTTGGCAGGAGATCACAGATCTGAGGGTTGCCAGGCTGTGGATGTGAATGGAATTCCTAATTCAGGGGATTTCTTAAACCCTGTGTGTGTTCCTGTTATGGCTCTGCCAGTGGAGACCAGGAGATGGAGACATTGGAAAGGCTCAGAAAGGTGGCCATGGAAACCACACCTACAGTCACAGGTGGTACAAGATGTTGGTTTTACTTCTCATGAAGGGTTCTTGATGTGCTCACCCATCAAGTGGTTGGATCTGGATTAATCTGGAATAATTAAAATGGATTCTCCTGGCTCCCCTGTCGAAATGAGGGAGACTTGAGCTCCTGGTTGCTCTGTAACTGTCTGTATAGAGCCTGTGAGCTATGGAAGTGTCAATACTGACTGGAATCTCACCAGTGTCCTTTATTTGCTGGGGCAGGATCAGGTATGGGACTGGTGATCACCAGTCAAGGAGGATGTGGGGCTCAACAGGGGGAGAAGATCTGGGTGGCTTTTAGGTTGTGTAGTTGGAAGGGAAATTGAGAATTACTGAAAAAACATTTCAAAAATGAGGGCACCAATCTTGTCTCTCTGGTGGTTACAAAGCTTTGTTGGAAAAGGATTTGACCACAGCAAAGTGGAAGCACAATTTTTTTCTAAGTCTGTGCTTAAAATGTTTTTAAATCCCTTCCCAGTCTGCTAAACTACGCAAGCTGCCTCCCTTCCTCACCATTTCCCTCCTGAGGTTCAACTTTGACTTTGAGAAGTGTGAGAGGTACAAGGAAACGAGCTGCTATACATTCCCCATCCAGATCAACCTGAGGCCTTTCTGTGAGCAGGTGGGCACTGTTAACATTTGTTAAAAGTTTCTGTGTGCTCTCTCAGCAGAGAACCCACAGCTCAAGGTTATCTCTTTTTTTTTGCATTTTGTCAGGTATTTGAGTAACTTTGTGGTGTCCTTCTTGACTTTTGAACTGAGCTACCTTGTTGCTGCAAGGGGGAAGGGTAAAATAATTACCCAAAAGTTACCTAACCTGTCCTTCACAGGAAGATTATTATCTGGAAATGGAAGTTTATTTTTGTGTCGTTATTCTCTGATACCATCATTCATAAATTGAGCTATACTCTGCTTTAGGTGCCTGTAGTTACTGCATTTTTCTCAGGAATCTCTATTTGCATTCATAAATGTGTTTCTGGTTATAAACTGAGCTATATCGTTGCTTGATGACAAATTTTGATCCTTAAACAACATAACAAAGGCACTGTTATGGAGCAGACATTTTTCTTGTTGAAGTGTTGCAATGCAAGCTTGGGAATTTCTCAGTGTTTGTATTTGAGGAAGCCTTCCCCCCCTCCCCAATTTTAGTATTTCCAAGTGTTGCTTCTTTTCTCTCTCCTCTTTTAAACAAAATAAGTTTGGTTGTGAACAAACATTAAAATTGAAAATATTTTGAATTTCCAGTATGGTTCAGCATCCTGCTTGTTTAATAACACGGGTTGCCTGGGGAAGCTGTGGCTGCCCCATCCCTGGAAGTGTCCAAGGCCAACTTGGACAGAACTTGGAGCCACCCGGGCTAGTGAAAGTTGTCCCTTCCTCTGTAGGAACTCAGATGAATTATAAGGTCCCTCCAACCTAAGCCGTTTTGGGATTTTATGATTTATCAGTCTGTGGCTTGTGCCAGTTGTTCCTTATGTCCCCAGCCCTCAAAAGCCATTTCAGTCTCTGCTCATACACACACTGAGAAATGTCTGCAGTGATGCTGAAGGTATAAAGCTGTCCTTGTGTGAGAGACTGACCTCAGTTATTGTTACAATTATTGTTTTTCTTTTTAAAGACTGAAATGGATGATTCAGAGTACATGTATGAGCTCTTCTCTGTTATTATACACAAAGGTGGCTGCTATGGAGGACACTATCATGTTTATATCAGAGATGTGGATGAATTAGGAAACTGGCAACTCCAAGTAAGTCCTAAAGGCTTCTCTTCCTTGCTTTAGAGGTTGTACTTTTCAGAAAAGTATTAAGAGCTAATGGATGAATGTGCATCCAAACTTAATTAATGTTTTAATGAGGCTTTGTGTATCTTGCCTCATTGAGAAGGGCAGTTTATCAGAATGTTCATTCTGAAATTGTGCATGATCTTGTCAGCACAGAATAATCCAGTCCTCTAATTGTGTGTGAAACCACAATATTTGTGAGTGTCTTTCTAACCCAGGAAGAAGAGGGTGGGCTGATGAAAGAGAAGGTTTTAAGAGACACTGAAAATGCCAAAGAAACAGAAAATCCACTGGCAGTCTTAAAAGGGATTTTATCAGAGGTATGGTATGTAAGGAATTCATTGTTTTGGCTTTGGAGCTAGGGAACCTGCAGAGGGCTGCTATTTGTGAGAGTGGGCAGGCTTAGGTGTCCAGAGCTCTTCTGAACTTGGTGTGAAGCATTTAAAACTTGGCTTTAATATTAATAGTGACTCTTCCTACAGAAAAAAAAGTTCTTTTGGAGTATTTCTGAAGCTGCTCACTAAAGCTGTTGCAAAAGGAATCAGAATATCCAGAGTTGGAAGGGAGCATTGGAAGTTGGAGCATTGATCCAGCCCCTGTCCCTGCACAGGCACCCCAACAATCCCACCCTGAGCATCCCTGGGAGCAGTGTCCAAATACTCCTGGAGCTCTGGCAGCCTTGGGGCTGTGCCCATTCCCTAGGGAGCCTGTGCAGCACCCTCTGGGGGAAGAACCTTTCCCTGACATCTAACCTGAATCCCCTCTGGCACAGCTCCAGATGATGCTACAGCAGCTTACTAAAAACCAGGAATGATAAAAACACTACAAAATTTACTTCTTTGTGTTGACCCCCTGACTTTTGTAGCCTTTGTTACCTTAGTTTTTCATTTCTCTGCAGGAGGAAGCTAAACAAATTGCTGTGGATCAATTAGGGCAGAAATTACTGGAGAAGAAAGGGGTGTCCTGGAATAAGAAATACAGAAAACAATATGGAGCATTACGAAAGGTAATCACAGGTTTGCTAGTTTTGATTTTAGGTAATTTTTGTAATAATTTATATTCCTGTTGAATATTCAGGAGGAGATAATTGAGAATATGGACCCTTGGATGAGCATGTGCAAGGAGAGGTTTGTAATGTGAATTAGCAAGCTTGGGAACATAAGATTGCCAAGGAATTGTCTGCCTGACACTTTTAGTGGGTTTTTTTCCGATCTCTATGGTTGGCCTATAAAATATTAACCTTACTGAAGAGAAAACAGTGTTTGAAAATGCATGCCATTTTTTTGTTGTTTAGAACATGTCTATGAAATTAATACTCCAGTGAAACCTTGTTTTCCAGTTGGCTGCTGTATTTTATGATGTTTTAAGAAAAATACTTCAGAATTTGTATTGTGGATAGGTGGAAAACTGATGTTTACATGTTTTTTGAAGGGAGCTACCTGCAGTTTCCATGAGAAATGTTTAAATGTAGGTGTGAAGTGTAGATGTGAGGATTTTACAGAGGTAAACTGAGGAAAATACATGAGGAAGCACCATAAAATGAGGGTTGAATTAATGGGGTTTGTGTTTCACTTCGAGGAGAGCAGCTTAATGCAGGCTGCATTTAAAACTTGGCGTCTTCTTCATCTTGTCCTTGCTTCCCTTTCAGTATTTGCAGAATCATCCTCAGATTTTCCAGCTGAGTCCTGATGGAAACAAGGTTGGCCTGAAGGAAACACACAAGCTCCTGATCAAGCTGGATTCTCATGGACAAAATCTCCAGAGCCCTTCCCAGAAGAATGATGTGCAGTGGAACTGTGAGAAAAACTCCTCAAGGCCAGGAGCTGCTTCTGCTGGGTGCCACTGGTTTGATCTGAATGATTCCAAAGTCCAGCCCATCAAGGAGAAGGATATTGAGAAGCAATTCCAGGGTAAAGAGAGTGCCTACATGCTGTTCTACAGAAAAGCTCAGCTGAAAAGGCCCCCTGAAGGTACACGAAGCTCATCTGGAGATTCTGGGGGTGCTTCCTGCTTTGACATTTTTTCTGGAGAGCTTTTTTGTCCTTTCCAAGCTTTATTTTCCCCAGTTTTCCTTATAGTGATCATTTGAAAAACTAAAGTTAAATGAAAATACAAGGAGGTGGTGACCTGTTAATTGCCTGTAGCTGACTAATATTTTTTTAGCATGCTCCACAAATAATGGCAGAGCATCAGCTGAAACAAATACAAGTTGTAGTTAATGGCATTTATGTGTTAATTCCCCTTAAAGAAAGGTTGATTGGAAGGAGTAAAAGCATTTGCTTGTTCTTTAGATAATCTTGCAGTTGAGTTTTCAGTGATTATTGTACTGTAATGTCTCTTCTTGATCTCTTTTCTTGTTTGCCAAATCAGATTTTAAGCCTCTATTTTTTTATTGCAGCACGTGGAAATCCAAGGTACCAAATTCCTGAGCACCTGCTGCATGAAATGAATGCTGCTAATACAGAGCTGCAAAAAAAGAGGTATACTGGTGTCATTGTACTCAACCAGCTCCTATCTGCAGGACTCTCAAGGCATTCAAAAGGAAAGAAATTCCTTGAGCAGAGTCACAACTGAAATGGTTCAATGTCATAGAGGTTAATTGAAGAATATAATTTCTGTATCCATATTCTGCTGGTTCTCTACCTTCCCTCTTAGCAGGCAGCCTACAGAGTTTCAAGGGAAACATATTTAGAGTTTCAAATGGTACCATTTTCTGGTGAAAATCACTGCAATTCTGGAGAGTGGAATGCATTATCTTTATTGTGTTTATGGAGGGAGCTCTCCACTGAGAGAAGGGGGAAGGTCTTGATTTATGGTGAATTTACAGATAAATTATATTCTCTGCCAGAAAAGTGAAGAGCTTGTGGTATTCAGATTAGAAAAAACTTCCCCTTGTGTTGAGGGACATGAGTGCTGATACACCTGTATCACAGTTAAGATATCAAAATACAGCCACGAGAGTGACAGTTTATAGGATATTTCACACAAGATGGCTGCCCCATCCCTGGAAGTGCCCAAGGCCAGGTTGGATGGGGTTTGGAGCAACGTGGGATAGGGGAAGGAGCCATGGTGGGGGGGGAGCAGGATAAGCTTTAAGCTTCTCGCCACCCAAACCATCCTGGGATTCTGTTTCTGAGGGAATTCCACTCCTTTATTTTTTTAAATGTTTGCTGCTACAACTAGGGACGGGTATAAAGGAGGAGGGGATGTGACAGGGAATTTAGCCCTGGGGGGATCAGTTCCAGGACAGCTACACAGAAAGATCTGATTGGGGTTAAATTCACCAGGTTTTTGTGTTGTTCTCTCAAAGAGCTGAATGTGACTCAGCAAACAATGGCATTGATTTACATCTCCACCTGAGCTGCTGCTATAAATTCCACAACGGGGCTTTGCATCCTGCACTTTCTTGGAAAGAGAGCGTGGTGGATTTGACTATTGACAGAAGGAAAACACTGGGAGATCTTCGGCAGGCAGTGTTCCAGGTACCTGCTCTATCAAATCAACTTCATTTTAACTTGAGCCACTGCAACCTTTACAAATGTATTTATGCTGCAATCTCTGTGCCAAGGAGAAATTTTTAACAGCAGATGGAGTTTAGAAGGCTAAAACTTACTATGAGTTTACACAGGAGGAGAGAGTGGTGTGGGGCCTGTTCTGGAAGCCATGAAATTGCTGGAATTTTAACTATGGAGACTTCAAAGTTCACATGAGCTAATTATATTTGGGCAGCATGTGCATGGCCATGGATTCACACTGCAGAACTCCAGACTTATTCTTAATATTTCATTTTGTGACAGTTGTCTGTCTTTTCAAGGAGTCACCAATTAAATGTCACCAAGTGAGCTTGGGAGCCAGGCTGTGGCAGCTTTCAGCAGATTGTAATTGTTAAGAGTGCTGTGAGTTACTGCTACCATTATTTTACATAATTTTTCTGGTTCTTTTTCCCAACTAGATGTTGGAATCTTGGGAAGGAGACATGGTGCTCAGCATGGCCAAGCCTTTACCAGCAGGATTACACCTGTACCAGGTGCTTGATGGTAAGAACACTGCATGCCAGGCTTCCATGCTGTTGCTGTATTTTAATTCCTGCAGCCATCAAAGATTCCATCTATAAACCATCCTGGAGATAGGTATTACTGAACACTCTTCCAGCTCAAACTCATGTTAAGTTATTTAAATTATTTATTTCACTCTTATTAGTGGAATGAATAATTTTGAGGCTTTGCTGTGAAACCTTTGTTGTGAAATGCAGTTCTTAAGCAAGTCAAGCACATTTGCTGATAATAACGTATCAGTCTGTGTCTTGCCCTTGATTTGCTTGTGGATGTTTGCTTTCATAGGATTGGCCTAATAGGTGGAGAGGATAGAAGAGAGGAGCCAGGGTGACATCAAAGGAAAATGTAGGTTAGACTTCAGCTGAATTAGGGATTTTGTAAAGGGATATACTCACATTAAGAGTTCATTAATTTATTAAGGCTATGTCAGTTTTTCAAATCGTCATTTTTGTCTCTAGCTTCCCTTTATTAGGCAATTCTAAATGTCAGTCTTTAAAAACTTAGTAACTTTTAAATTTTATATTCTCTGTGGTGAGCTTCAGAAAATCAGTGTTGAACCAGAACATAACTCTCCGTGATGTTGACTTCAAAATAGAGAAGCACTCAGAGCTACTCTAAGTATTCCTCCCCATACTTGTACAGTTCTTTAAAAAACTTTAAAACTTTTAAAAACTTGCTCACCCTGTTTGTGTATTTTGTGGGGAATGAGAACTTGATGATTTGCTCCTATTTTTTTTAGGAGATGAGCTGACCCTGGATGGCATTGGGCTGGCTGATGGAGCAGACATCTTTGTCTGGAATGGGAAAGAGGTAAAGGAACCAAGCACTTCCTTCCTTGTCAGCTCTGAAGAGATAAGACTGCACAAGGTCTCCTGGAAATCCTGTGCTGCTTTTGTAGTTTTCCATCTTCCTTTTAATATTAAGGCTTCTGCTTATCCTGGAAGTGGTTGTGAAGCACAGCATTTATTCTGTCTCTCTAGTGGAATACAATGCTCCTTTTAAATGATTTATATTGTAAAAGTATCCATTTTATTTTAGCTTTTAGCTCAGAAAAAACAGACCCTAAACCAAACAAAACCATCCAAACAGATAGTAACAGGGTCAGTTTTGTCTTGGTTTTATTTTTGGTATACTTTTTTCTGTTGCAGCTTTTATGTCATTAAATTTTCTTCAGCAAGGAACTTAGGTTAAATTTAGGTTGAATATCAGAAAGATCAAACTTTTAAAATGTAAGGTCACAATGTTCAGTCACATTTGGGTAGTTCTTTAATGTCCTGAGGGGCTTAATCATGTGTTCTAGATTTTGCCAAGTGTCCACTGGTTTCCCAGCTGTGGAATGGTTTGGAAAGGGACTAAGGATCTCGTCCCACCCCTGCCATGGACAGGGGCACCTTCTGCTATCCCAGGTTGCTCCAAGCCCCATCTAACCTGGCCTTGGACGCTTCCAGGGATCCAGGGGCAGCCTCAGTTTCTCTGGATAACATTTTGCTTTCTCTTCCCAACACCTGTGGATTACTCTGATGATTCGTTCAGTACGAATTTGGTCCGAGGTGGTTTGTTTGGGAGGGGAGAGTGTCCATTTTTTTTTGTCTCAGTATGCTCACTGCCCAGTCTCTCCTGTATTTGCTGCATCACACAAAGCTGGCATTCCTTCCTCCTGTCCCTCAGGTCGGAGGCACAAAGGTGCTGACGGGCCCTGAGCACGAGCCCTTGGTGCTCAACGTGCTTCGCTTGGCCGAGCACAACGAGGGCAGCAAGGGGCAGCACTTCAGCGAGGCCCAGCGTGTCTTCTCCTGCAGCACCAGCCTGGGGCAGCTGCACTCAGCCTTGGCTCCAGCCGGGGGCATCATCCTCAGGAACGGCTCAGGGGCAGACACAGAAGCCAAGAACTGGGAAGTTTTCCGTGAGGAGGACATGAAGGAAACGGTCCGAAGTGTTGGGCTCAGGGATGGGTGCTCTGTGCTGATCTTAGACAGCCATGACCAGAGGTAATGTTTTTTATTATGATTGTAATTAAACAAAGAAAGCAATTTTGGCAAAACCTTTTAGTCCAAATTATACTAACAGCACATATTCTTGTAACTAATAATCACTTTGAGCTTACAAATACGAGTATTTTCATCTTAAGTTTTGGAGACCAGTTATTTATCGACCATTAGATTTTTCTTGTCCTCCAAATGCAGCACCAGTTACAACCTTTGATTTACACTTGTAAAGGGGGAAAAGCCTGATGGGAGCAACTCATGCTCAGCCAATCCAAAGCTGCCAGGGGCGAATTTGTGGTCTCATTACACTCTTTGCTCCCTGAGGCCTCTGCTCTGTGAGATGCCATTACTGTGCACAACTTTGTGATCATCTTTTTATTTGGGAACTGTGCTGGTGAGTGATGTAGCCCTGCCAATGTTTAGCTTTTCTGTCTGTCTGTCTTTGCACTGCTGATTCCCACAGCTTTGTCAACGTGGCAAGTGGGAATTTGACTGCCTTCACCTATGACATCAGCTGGCTCCAAGTGAAAAACTTCTGTGGGGTGGAAGAGGAGGAGAAACACGTTAAAATCACTGCCACCATTGAAACAGTAAGGACTTTGATTTCCTGAACAGCTTGGCCACTGCACTTGGCCCAGCTCATTCGATTTAGCCTCAGTAATGAAGCTTTTCCCTGCTGAAATTAGTGTTGAGCTCAGAGTTACAATCCCTAGCATATTTGCAGGTAGCTTAAACCAGTGCAGTGTTTTAGTGTCAAACAGTTTCCTCTTTGTACCATCCTGTAAATGGAATCTTGAGATGGTGTCAGTAACCAAAGCTAAAAGAGAGGGGAAGGATTATCTTTGTGCACTGGCACTTGAACGAGCAGGGGTGTTGGTGGCATTCCAGGCTGGATGTGTACCTGTCCTTTTTAATGTCCCTGTCTTTTAGGTGATGTCAGATATCAAAATGAAAGCAATCCGGGAGCTTCAGCTGGAGGAGGAGCTGGGTAAGTGTTCAGCTGCTTTCAGTCTGCTAATGTTACAATTTACTGGCTTTTGAGTGGGTTTAGTGGTAGAATTTTCCTTTCAGTGAAAGAATAAAAGCTGAGACTGTTGATGGAGTCTCGAGGAGTCTCTCTCCAGTTACATTTTTGATATCACAGAGGGAGGCCTCTAAGATGAACCCATTGTAATTAATCTTAAAGGTGTTACTTGTCTGAAATTCTGAGCCAAATTCCTATTTTATTCCTGTTTGAATTAGTTAATACTTCTCTCTTTCCTGCCCTTTTTGCTGCAGCAAACGAGAGCTGTCTTAGACCTGTTAGTGGCAACGGGAAACTTCTGTCTCCAGGTAAATTGATTTATTGATTCAGTGTTCTGTAAGAAATTCACTGGGGAGATTTTGAGCCTCTGTTTGTCCTTTCCTGGGAGAAGTACCGACACATAACTCCACTGATTCCCAGGCTTAACTGAACCTTTGTGTGGGGTTTTTTTTCCAGTTTTAAAGTTAATAGTACCAGTATAAAGATAGGGGTTGAACTGAAATGTTCAGCTTGGTTTTCTTGCTTACATCATTAATCCACCTGTGCTCCTGATGGACTCTGGGAGATCTCCATGCCTTTGTTCTCCTCACAGGACACTCACAGATCTGCTGTCAGGGCTGAGCAAGTTAAGCGCTCCAGAGGGCACTGAAGGGTTTTAGCTTGCTCTGAGGATGATAAAATTGATGTTTTCATTTGTCCTCCTTCAAGTGCCTGAGGATTACACAGTCAAGGAAGCAGAACTGAAGATGGGAAGCTTGCTCGGGCTGTGCCGTGGGAAAGCACCAACTTCCACTCAGGTACAGCAGTGTGGGATGGGAGGAGCCAGCTCCAGGGACATTCCTAAAGAGAACAAAGGAAAAAAGGGGGATATTGCTCTTGGAATGTGCAAATTGTAAATATCCCAGAGTGGTTTGGGTTGGAAGGGGCCTTAAAACTCACCCAGTTCCACCCCCTGCCATGGGCAGGGACACCTTCCATTGTCCCAGGATGCTCCAAGCCCCAGTGTCCGACCTGGCCGTGATGTGCAGGGGAAGGAGTGGTTGTGCATATCTGGANGGCAGGGACACCTTCCATTGTCCCAGGATGCTCCAAGCCCCAGTGTCCGACCTGGCCGTGATGTGCAGGGGAAGGAGTGGTTGTGCATATCTGGAGACCAGAGGTGGCTAATGAGCATCTGCTGATGGCCATAACTCAACTTTGCTTTTGTGCCATTTTTGTGCTGTTTGTTGACATTCTAACCACAGGAATTGTTCTTACACTTCAGTGTTTATTTTGGTAGTTTGTGTTTGGATTTTCAGCTCTTCCTGTACTTCATGGTTGGGAGTGACCAAAACTGCAGCCCTGAGATGGAGATAGTTGTGGAGGAGACTGCCTCTGTCAGAGAGGTAAGGCTGGCTGCTCCCACAGCTCTGCTCCCAAGGTCCTGGACAACACTTCTTGCTCAAACCTGGAGGTGGAGGAGTTGGGAAGAGCCATGCACAGAGTGAAGAAGACTCTGCTGCTGCCAGTCTAGTGCTGAATTTCCAGCTTTGACTTTTATTTTTTTTTTAAAGGTGCATCTGCAAACTCTGGGGCAGAATTTGTTCAAGTAAAGGAACAAACTGACAGCATAGATTTAGTTTTCTACCAGTTGGGGAAAGCTGGCTCAGCTGATGTGGTGAATTTTTTCCTGAAAACAATCTCCTCCATGAAGGTTTTAATATATAGCCCAAATACATCTTGTGTATCTAATTATATTGTTTTAAGAATTGACCAGCAGTCACTCTGTCAGAAAATTTTAACATAGATTTGCTGAAAAATTCTTTTCCCAGCCTCAGCAATGACACAACTCTCATCTTGTGTTTCTTCTTTCAGTGTCTCAGTTTAATGCTGGAGAAATCTGGATTATCAGGTTAGTTGTGTTATTTACATATTTTTAAAGGAATTTTTAATACTTTTAAGACTTTTTCCTACCCGAAACCTTGCAAGTTTTTTCAATGATCTGTGTGTCATCGTAATGTGGGAAGGAGAAAGAATTCTAAACATGAAGTCTTTATAATATATTTTTTTATTTTAAAGAGCATGTCATAGATTCACATGATAATTTGACACATTGTAATTCCTTCTCTTTCCTCTGAAACCGGTGAAAATAATTAGATAGGTGAAGAATAGAGATCTGTAGAAATGAAAGATTATTTTCGTACAGCAAAAGATCTGGGGAAGATGGAAGTAATAATTCATTTAGTCAGAGTTGTGTTTAAAAAGCAAATAAAAATAAAGAACAAAAGAAAAAGGACCCTTGACACTTAAGAGTTTTATAATATTTTCCTACACTGGCATTATTGACTAACTAGTTTTCTGTATGTATCTTTTTGGGTTTTGGTAGGTGACAGCTGGCATTTGAGAAGGCTTGACTGGTGCTATGAAGCAGGGGAAGCCTTAAGCCAGGAAGTAAGAGGAGCCTGTTTGAATCCATCTGTTCTCTGCTCCCTTGGGAGAAAGGCAGCTGGGGGCCAACAGGGACCCTGTGCTTTCTCTTCCTGCAGAATGCCACCCTGAAGGAACTCAACGTTTGCAGAGGAGACACTTTGGTTATAACTGAAGGAAAGCTTCCAGAAAAGGTAAAATGTGAGAAACAAGGTTCATTCTTTAAAATTTTTAGAAGTTTAATAAGGGATAAAAGGGACTGTACACAGTGCTGGAGTGCCTGGCAAACCAGAAGCATTCTGTTAGCTTTAAACAATTTTCTTATATACTTTTTCATGACATTGGTTAAATGCATATTCATGAGGATTATACATGTTCAAATATTCCTGTGGGTTTATATGTTCTGGGAATTCTTTTGCTTGGTTTTAACCTTTGACTTGTCTGCATGCTATCCTGTAGATTAAATTTATATATTTTATTTCTTCCCAAGCCTCCATTCTGTTGTTTTGACACTTCCTGATAACTGGTGTGTCAGTAGTAAATTTTTCTCTTGGTCTCCTAGTTCTTGTCACTGTTACTTTATAATTCAGAAAAGATAATCCACAAATAGATTGAATCAACATAGCTATTTCGCACCATTATGAGTTAGTTACACAAAGAAAAGCATTTAATATTACATAGTTTCTATTTTATTATGCTAAGGTTGAATATATAATACATATATTTATCACATTACTATTTATGTGAGCTATACAGTGCATACAAAAGCTGACAGGTTATATTGTATCAAAAAGCAGTTAAAAGGGGTTACAAATTGTACTATATTAAAATTGTTGTGATCAATAATAACTTGCAAAACCAATACATAAATGCCAAAGCCAATAACTATATCGTCATTTATAACATAAAAGGAGAGTGGTAGTGTCTGGAGACTTGGAATCCCAGAGTGGTTTGGGTTGGGAGGGATGTTAAAGCCCATCTAGTGCCACCCTGCCATGGCAGTGACACCTTCTACTGTCCCAGGTTGTTCCAAACCCTGTCCAGCCTGGCCCTGAACAGGCTGTGCCTTGCAAAATTGTAGCATCATTATTTCTGCACCACCACCATGCTCTCCACTAAATCATTTCCCCAGCTGCCACATGCACACATTCTTTGGACACTTTCAGGACTGGTGACTCCACCACTTGCCTGGGCAGCCTGTTCCAAAAGCTTAGTCTTAAACAAATATTTTCTCTCTTCCTGTACTAAAGGTGAAATTTCTCCTTGTCTGCACACAGCACTTGAGCCACCTGCTATTTTCTGTTCCAGGGTTTCCTGAAAATCCCAATCTGGTGGCTGAAGCCTTCAAGCCATAAGAAACATGGAGAGTATGCACAAGACCAAGTGAATGGGATCACCTGGAAGATGGAGGCTTTGCAGGTGTCTGCTGCAGCAGGTGAGCTTGGCCAGGCTTTGAAAGGAATCATCTGTGGTTGTTCTTTGAGTAAAAGCCAAATTTTAATCCAAAGCCTTAAAACTGAAACCTAGGAGGGGCTGCATGAGTTGCATCAAGGTTATGGTGGAAGGACCACTCAGGAGACAGATGCAGTTTTGGACATAAAAGCTGGATAATCCTGTTGTAGGGCTGTTCCTCAGCTGGATTTGCTCAAAACCCCACTGAATTTTGTAGGAGGGGCTCTTAGGCAGTGTCTGTACTGAAGACAGTGGCAGCATTGTGAAGCGTCTCCTTCATGAGCACAGAGGCAATTGGCTTCAAGTGCCAGACTCCTGAAGGCACATTTAATTCCCTTCAGGCTGTGTGGCTTTTTGGAAGCTGGAAAAGGAGGTGTGGGTAAAGCTTGCATAGTATCAAAGACCTTAAATGCAGTTTGTTCCACTAAAGGTCAAATCCAAATTAAAAATCAGCCAGGGCAGCAAAATCAAGCGAGGGTTGAAAAGAGGGAAGAAAATGAAGTGGAAATAAGAGAATTGGAAAATGAAGAACAAATTGATTTTTCATTTTGTATTAAAAGCAATATTCTTCTGGTGCTGGGTTGTGCTGCAGGGCAGGACCCCTCTCCTTGCAGAAATTTTCTTTACATTTTTCTCCTTTTGCCTCAAACCTTTTCTGAGTTTCATTTTCTCCCCTGTTGATTTCAGTAGTGGAGCTAAGAGCAATTTAGCTTAGCTTGCAGTAGGTTTAATCAATAACTAACACTATTTATCAATGGGAATAACTGCTCCTAGTTCTGAAATTTGCAGTGTAGGAACTGTTGGGAAATTACTGGGATGTATTTTGTGTGCTGGATATGGCTATGGCAGGGGAATGAGGTGACCTTTAAGGTCCCTTCCAACTCAAAGCAGTCTGGGATTCCTGGATACTCTAAGTGGACTCCAGACTCCTTCTCTAAGGGAAATGTGACTGTTATCTCTCAGGTCTATACAAATCATGTAGACTATTCTGTTATTTGTTTCTTCCTCCTCTCCCTTCCCCCCTTCAAAGCTCCAGCAGAACCCATCCACCCAGGCCTGGATCTCTGTTATGCTGGCAGGATAGAGATAGCAGGAGAGGCCTCTCTGGAAGACCTGAAGATGCAGGTTAGATGTTCTCCTGTGTTGGACTGTGCAGCAGCACTGTGATGACTTGAGCTCTATTAACAGCTCTTTTATTTCCTTTTCCCCTGTCTCCAGTCTGTTGGGCTATGGCATTTATGCCATGGTCACTGGTAAGTACCAAGAGGCAGCTGGAGCACGTAGCTCAAACACTTCCTTAGTGTCCCTGCTGTCCCCATCCTCCCTGTCATGTGTCCTGGCCTGCAGGAGCCTTGTTGCACTTCAGCTGAAGCTCTACCTTGCAGCTTTTGCCTTTATTTCAGTATAAAATCTCTCCATGGGAAGCACACACATAACAAGCACCTCCTAAAAAGCCACTTTGCCATTTCCACATTGTTCCTGTGTTAGTTTTCTGCATTATTTTTTTAAATTTCTGTATGTGGAATCTGATGAATAAAGAATTTTTTTGGGGTGCATAGGTTTGTCAGCCAGGAAGGCCTGGCTTATTTTGTTTGGCCAGTGACTAAAATATCTTTGTATGGTTTTAATGCACTAAAAACCAAACCAAGCAAAGCACCCCAAAAGAAAAAACTAATCCCAAAACCCACCCCAAACCCACAAAGGTGTATAACCCAGTCCTACCAAAAGGCTCTGTGTGGTTTAAGCAGTTGATTGTTCTACTTGAACTGCATGAGGAAGGACCTCTCACCTGATTCTGCTCCATACCAACACTTATTTTTTTGGGTATGACTTCAGTTTTGGGTTCTGCCAGGCTACTGCCTTGGAGAGCTGTGTGCAGGTTGAACAAGGAGAACTGGCTGAACGTGAGAAGTGTTGTGTCCTTGGGAAGGGCTTAGAGGAGCTCAGCACTTGGTCAGAGACTGGGATAAGGATTGCAACAGCCCCATTCCCTCCCAGTTGTTCAAATTTTAGTTAAAAAAAGAAATTTGGTACTTTGGAAATGGAAGTTGAGTTGAGAATTGTTGAGAGGAAGGGAAATCCAACTCCTCTTGAGGCTGAAAAGTGAATGTTTTGCTGATAGCCGCAAGCAACAGCTGGTGTGGAATAAATCTCAACACCTTGCCCTCTTTTTTGAGAGTTAATCCAGTTTCTATTTTTCCCACCTGGCTGCTAAAGTGAATGACCAGGTATTTCTGTTTTTCAGGCTCTGACCTTACCCTGCTGCCAGGAGCAGGTTGTGCCCCTGCCCTCGTTTCTCAGAGCTTGGACAATGGATAGCAAACGTCCCGGGAAGCTCCTCCGGGATAACAAGCGGAGACTCAGGTGGCTTTCCTGGGGAGTGTGCAACAGGCTGGACATGGGATGGATTGTGGGGAGATTCATCAGCTCAGTCTGGGTTGGAAAGGATCTTAGAGATGAGCAGTCCCACCCCTGCCATGGGCAGGGACACCTTCCACTGTCCCAGGCTGCTCCAAGCCCCAGTGTTCAGCCTGGCCTTGGGCACTCCAGGGATCCAAGGGCAGCCACAGCTTCTCTGGGCACCCTGTGCCAGGGCCTGCCCACCTTCACAGGGAACAATTCCTTCCCAATATCCCATCCATCCCTGCCCTCTGGCAGTAGGAAGCCATTCCTTGTGTCCTGTCCTTCCATCCCTTGTCTTGAGCTTTCCTCGAGGCCCTTCAGGCACTGGAATGGGCTCTGAGCTCTCCCTGGAGCCTTCACCCCAGATCCAGAGCCACGTAGACAATCTCTGTTCTGTTTTCAGTGACTACAGGCTGGGTGCCAGAGTGGAAATCTGCATAGAACCCTTGCAAGAAGAAGAGAATTTGGGGTAAGAGCTCAAGATTTTTATTTCTCTTGTTTGTTACATCTCTGCATTCGAGGGAAGCCTTCATTGAGTAGCTTGTGACTTCAGGACTCTCAGGATGTGGGAAAACCTTGGAAGTTATTAATTGTTTTCTACAAACAAAATGAGGGAGGGCAGGAGGGGGAGAAAGCTGGGAATTCTGAAAGCATGGCTCACAAGAATTTCCATTCTCTCATCCTGCTGCCAGCCCCCAGGAGCTGCTGCTGCGAGTCCAGATGGGAATACCAGGAGAGAGGGACTACTCCGACTCCCGGGATTTGGTGTGGGATATCTCCAAGGAATGCACAGCCTGGGCTCTGAGGCAAAGAGTGGCTTCTCACTATTGTCTCCCTGTAGATAAAATTGAAATAGCCAAATACTTCCCTGAGAGATTTGAGTGGCTGCCAATATCTAGCTGGGTAAGATCTGGATTGACAGAATCCCACAGTTGTTGGAGAGGAGCGTGTGTTGGTTTGGGCTGCAGGTCCTTAGGGATTGAATTTAAAGAGAATTCTAAACTCTTCTGCTTTGATTTTGTTCAGACACAGCAGATCTCCAAGAGGAAAAGGAGGAAAAAGCAGGAGAGTTTGCAGTCAGCCCCTTATCACCTGAAGGATGGAGACATCATTGGGGTGAAGGTAAGTTTCCCTGGATTTAATTGTTGCACAAGGATCAGGTTCAGGCAATGTCCCCTTTGCAGTATCTTTATTTCTGCCTGGTTTTCTCTCATCCTGCTGCATTTCTGAGAGTGCTGGGATGTGGGTTTGGACACTGCATTGTGTTGATAGGAAATCTCTTGCTGCTGCTGCTTTTCCTTTTTCTTGCCCTCATTTTTTGACTTGGGTTTTTTTTGAATTCTGAGTAAAATCCGAGGAAGTGCCCTTTAAAAATCTCATTATAGATACAAACCCGTTACATATTATGGATTACTGAACTAGGACAGTTCTGTTCTAAGGTGTTGAAAGGAATTACCCAGAAGTGAGCTCTGAGCTAGCAATCAGGCTTACTTAGAAGGAAAGAAGATTCTGGATGGGTTTTAAAGCAGTAGGAGAAAAATGTGATGTGCTATCCTGCTGTTTTAGCCTATTGGAAGGAGTCCATCCCTGGAAGTGTTCCAGGCCAGGTTGGATGGGGCTTGGAGTACCCTGGGACAGTGGAAGGTGTCCCTGCCCATGGCAGGGGTGGCACTGGATCATCTTTAATATCCCTTCCAACTCAAACCATTGCAATTCTAATTAGCTTGAAATTAATCAATGCAAAAGTAGTCAAAAGAAACCATCTGGAAATTTATTGTGTCAGTCGAGGAACAGCTGGGAGATAGTTTGACCTTCTGACTTTGATCTCTCCAATCCTTTTTCATAACAGAACCTTCTCCTTGATGACACCAAGGACTTCAGCACCGTCAGGGACGACATGGGGAAAGAGAAGCAAAGGCAGCTGGCTCTGGAAAAGAGGAAAAGGTAGTGAGCACTTAGTTCCATTTTTCTTTAGGAATATGCAGAGTGTTTGCTGCTTTTCAGAGAAGCTGTGGCTGCCCCGTCCTTGGAAGTGTCTGCAGCCAGGTTGGACGGGGTTTGGAGCAACTGACATAGTGGAAGGTGTCCCTGCCTGTGGCAGGGGGTGGCACTGGGTGGCTGCCCTTGAAATCCAAACCATTCCATGATTCAGCCTAATTGGATAATTTTTGAGGCCAGTGGTAGCTGGGTGCTGTCAGAGCACACAATTCCAGTAATCCTGCAGGGAGAACTTGGATAATTCAGACTCCTGGCTCTCGATGTTCCTGCACTGAGCCTCATGGTTTTTCCTCCTGGAACACACCGTGGAGATGAAAATGAACCCTTGGCTGGCCTGGCCTTGCACAGGCTGTTTTCACAGCTCACTGGAACGCAGAGTTCAGGCCAGCACTAAATATTAACTACATCATTTCTGTTTTCCAGCCGCCAGGAGCGTGTCCAGGATCCCTTTTTCCCCGAGGAGAAGCTCCCCATGAAGTCCCGCAAACCAGAAGTGGCTCTTTCCATCAACGTGGGGGTTTTCAGATAGCACCAGGAGCTGCTCTGCCCACACCACCCTGTACTAACCTGGCCTCTAGGGCCTCAGCTCCAGCAGCAAGACGGGCTTTCCCAAAGTGTCTTCAAGGATCCCTGAGGCACAAGCTGGATGTAGGATTCAGGAAAACTGATTTTCTTCTGCTCTCTCTTGGGGAAGTGCTTTAAGGTCTCTTTCTCAGTGTGGTACTTACTCTCAGGCTGAGTAAATGCACTTTATGGAGGAGGAAAAGGATTAATGTATTGTATAACCCCTCGGTGACTCTTTTGTAACCACCCAAAATACTTTGTTGGGTCAGATCTGACTTCTTGCACCATCACTACTGAGGTTTAATGCAGTCATAATCATCTCTTTTTAGAAAGTTTTTCCCATCTCTGATGACTGAAGTTGCTACTGATACCAGAATTTGCTTTTCTTTCTTTATCTCTAAACCTAAGTCTGTAGGAGCTGGAGTTAGCCCTAAGAACGAGGGAAATGTGGAAATCTCTGAGCAAAGTGTAGGAAATTGGCTCAAAAAGAGCAAGCCCGGGACCTGTCAAGATGTAAAACCTGGAGACCTTTTGTGATAAGGAGCAACAGGGAGGTAATCTTAGATTCTGAAATTTCTGGGGCTTGTTTTGTTGCCCATAAACTTCATTAACAGACAAAACGGTTGAAAAAAATGGACAGATCCAATGTTTGATCTTCAGTAGGTTTTACTGTATTCAGGAAAAGGGCTTGTATTTATTTTCAGTGGTCCTCTTCAGAGGAATTTCCCTCATTTCTCATTTTTCCAGCTGTTCTGATATTCTGGTACATTGGAGAACCTGTTTCTCTTGGTGTCCTGAGCTGACTAAGCAGCTCACTGATCTGGGCTCCAGGTCAAAGGCTCTAAGTATTAACTCCAAAGTGAGCCTGATTATCCTTAATTAAATCTGTGATAATGACAGGACAAAACACGAGTTTGCTTTTAGGGGCTGCAGTAAATATTTGACCTATTTGCTGTATGTGTCGATTTTGTAGTGGGAGCTGCTAGTTGAGCAGATTTCCTCAAATTTTGGCTAACATTTTTCATGTACCTTTTATAGGTGAACACTATTCTGGTATTTCAGACAGCATAAAGATAAAAACTGACACTCTGCTATCAGAAAAAAAAAAAAAAAGAAAAGCACCATGAAATGCACGATTATTAATTTCTCTGCATATCTTTAGAATTCAGCAGGTGCTCCTGAGCTTTTTGGGGCTGATGCTCTGCACAAGGGGCTGTTTAATGTCCTCACTCACTCGAATCCTGAAATCCCAGTTTTCTGTCCCAGAGGAGGACAGCAGATGTTTTCCCAATTTTAATTTGTGTCACCTTCTTTCAGGTGTTCTTGGGAGCCTGGGTTTACAGTAGGGATCAGAGGTGCTGATTCCAAAGGTTTGTGTTCCCACGTGGTTCCAGCCCATTGGGTTTATTTGCTGTCACTTTAGTTCCTCTGGTTCCTGCTGGAGAGCTGGACTGAGCTCAGCCTTCCCCTCTTGAATAACTCTGGTCTCTGCCTGAGAACACCAAGTTTGGAGAAATTGAAATGCAAATTCCAAGTGGGAATTTTGTGCCTTTGTTCAAGTGTAATGTAGCAGCGCCTGCACTGAACCAATCTTGGATTATTTCTAATTTTGGCTCAAAATGCTTTTTTTTTTTTCTTAAAACTCTTGTGGGCCATTCCACAATGACAGGGTTCATGGAAAACGGGGCTGGGGCGAGGAAACACCTTTTGGACATGGAGTCTTTGTGACTCCTTGGGTTTTGATGGTTATTTGCAAAGCCTGGAAGAGCTTTCATCTTTATTTTTCAAGTGTTCTTCACAAAATAAAATGTCATTTTTATCTGCCTAGCTGGGTTGTCTGTGGATGTCTCACTGGTTGGGAATGGCACAAACTGGATTCTGACATGCTTTAATTTTCCAATGCTCCTGAACTGACATTCCCACCTCTGGAGGAGGTTTCCCCATTCTCTGTGGCTGTTGTCTTTTCCTGAGGCTCCTGGCTTGGTCCTGGCTCAGGGCTCTGAGTAGAGGAGCAGCTTTGCTTTGTCCCGTGTTTCCAGTCACTGAAGAAGGCAGGGAAGGTTCTTCCATCAGGACACAAAGCCACTCTGCAGCCCTAGATCTATAAAAAGCCTTGGAATTTTTTTTTATCCCAATTTTAATTAGTTATTTGGACTGGTTATTTTGAGTAACAGGTTTTGACTGAAATTAGCAATTAGCTTCTATAGACTATTAAGCCACTTTCTGGGAAATTAAATATTTTTAGCCTTTTTTGTTTGGTTGGTTGGTTTTTTTCTTTTCGGTCATTTGGCTCCTCCCATTTTGCTCGGACCCTTCTGGGATTCTGGACCTGGAGACTACAGATTTCCAGGTACAGGGAAATTTCCCAGAGCTGAGCTGAGATTCCTCTGCTTTTCTCAGCATGCTTCCTGATGAGCGTGGTGCAGAGTTCATTGCATTTCCAAGAGGTTTAGCAGGGTTCAGTGGGATATTGGGAAGAAATCCTTCCCATGAGGGTGGTGAGGACCTGGCCCTAGCTTTTGGTTCTTCAGTTCAATGGAGCTCTGCTTTCACAGGGAGCCTCTGCAGGAAAATGAGCAAATGAGGCCAAATTTAAACTTCGGCCCCTCCCCCCGCCCCCAAAATTCCTCCTCAGGCATGGAAAAACCCGGATGAACCACACAAAACTAAAATAAATATGCCTCTTCCCGAGACCATCTTCTTCCCAGTCTTCTTGCTCCCTTTGGGACTTCCTCCGATGCCCTCGGATGTGGAAGCTGTCAACACCTCCTGTTTTTCCCAGGATCACCAGATCCTGGAGCCTGTCTGGGGACCTCAGCAGCAGTGGGCTGGAGGGGAAAGGTAAAATTCACTTTTTTCAAGGACCTGCTGACAGAAGCGCAGGTGAAATTACTCACTTGGCATGAGAGTCCCTGCTTCTTTTTGCTGGAAAAATTTCCCTGTCTGCACTAAGGCCAGATCAATTTGCTTTTTAATTCCCAAATCTGATTCTTCCCTTACAGAAGGGTGTGGGTTGGAATGGAATTGGTGATCCAGTCCCACCCCTGCCATGGGCAGGGACACCTTCCACTGTCCCAGGCTGCTCCAAGCCCCAGTGTCCAGCCTGGCCTGGGACACTTCCAGGGATCCAGGGGCAGCCACAGCTTCTCTGGGCACCCTGTGCCAGGGCCTGCCCACCCTCCCAGGGAACAATTCCTTCCCAATATTCCATCCATCCCTGCCCTCTGGCAGTGGGAAGCCATTCCCTGTGTCCTGTCCCTCCATCCCTTGTCCCCAGTCCCTCTCCAGCTCTCCTGGAGCCCCTTTAGGCTCTGGAAGAGGCTGAGTTCTCCCTGGAGCCTCCTCCTCTCCAGGTGAACATTCCCAGCTCACCCAGCCTGGCTCCAGCCTTGGAGCATCTCCCTGCTCTCCTCTGGAGTTGCTTCTTTTTTTTTTCTTGTGTTTAGTGATGAACCAAGAAAAAAAAAACAAACCCAAACTTTTCCTCATACGCTTCACCTCCCCCTGACACGCAGCATTTCTCCTTACACATTCTATTTGCTGCCTGTAGTGCTGAGGGGTGGGAGGGTGAGTTTTTGGAGCTGTTTCTGCGGGTTTTGGGGCTGTTTCAAGGGCTTCTTTTGGGGGGCTGTTTCTTGGGGTTTGGAGGTTGTTTTACGGGGTTTTTGGGGCAGTTTCTGGGTGTTTTAGGGATGTTTCCGGGGCTTTTGTTTCCGGGTTTTTTGGGGCTGTTTCAAGGGGTTTTGGGGCTATTTCTTGGGGTTTGGGGGCTGTTTCTGAGGGTTTCGGTCTTGTTTTCAGGTTTTGAGGCTGCTTCTGGGAGTTTCGCGGTTGTTTACAGGTTTTTGGGGCTGTTTCTGGGAGGTTTTGGGGTTATTTCCAGGGGTTTTATGGTGCTATTTCCCGTTTTTTTTTGGGGGGGACGTTTCCAGAGTTGTTTTTATCCCCTGAGGGCGGAGCGCGGCGGGCTGCGGCTGCTATGGCCGCGGTGCCCCTTAGCGACGGGCCGCGCGCGGTTTTTGGGGCTGTTTCCAAAGATTTTGGGGGCTGTTTCCGCGAGTTTTTGGGGCTGTTTCCAAAGATTTTGGAGGCTGTTTCCGCGAGTTTTGGGGCTGTTTCCGCGAGTTTTGGGGGCTGTTTCCGCGAGTTTTGGGGGCTGTTTCCGCGAGTTTTGGGGCTGTTTCCGGGGATTTTTATGCGGGGCGGGCCGGTTGCTATGGCCGCGGTGCCCCTTAGCAACGGGCCGCGCGCACGCGCCGCGCGGGGCACGCCGGGAGCGCCGGGCCGGGGCCGGGCGGGTCTCGCCGCGATCCCGGTTCGAGCCCGGCCCGGTCCCGGTCCCGGTCACCGCGATGAACGAGGCGGTGTCGCGGCAAACGCGGGAGACCCTGGGGCAGGTGATCCGCAAGCCGCCGCTCACCGACGCGCTGCTGAGCAAGCCGCCCTTCCGCTACCTGCACGACCTCATCTCCGAGGTGGGTGTGAGACACTCGGGGAGCCTCGGGGCTGCCCCGTTCACCTCCCCGGGCTGCGCCGCACTGCGGGGCGTGCTCCGAGCCTGGGGCAAATCGCGGGGGTTTCGGGAAAGGCACGTGTAGGGGTAGGGAAAGGGGGGTCACGCTGGCAGAGGAAGGGGTAGGTGGGGTTTTGGGGAGGAATTGTTCCCTGTGTTATAAATGAGAGACTAAAGTCTCGATATTCAGCACAATTTAGATTGCTTTATTTGATATAGAAAGAGTAAGCGGCGCTGGGGAACGTGAGGGGTCGCCGCCCACTCCACGCCCCACCGAACCTTGGTTTGCAGTCTCTTCTTATACTGTGGTTTCTCGTTGTAATCAATAATTTTTGGATTTTTGTTGTCATAAGCAGTGGTGGTTGAATAAACGTCCTTACACAAATTCACAAAGCCTTTGGGTGATGATCAGTCACAGATAGCCATCTGGTCCTTGTAGATAACCACCAGAGAAGTTCTGGAAGTCTGGTTTTTGGGATAGGCAGCATTGATCAGACAAAGGCAAGAGGGGTTATTGGGAAGTCCGATTTTGCAAGCTGGCAGCCGATACTACTTATTTGGAAAACATAACATATTATAATGTAACATAATACATCGTAATATAACATAACAAGGTGATTTTAAACAGAATGATTTTATCATATAATTTCCTTTATCTAGTGTCCATGCTTCACTTTAGAGCTTAGTATTCTGGTTTATACAAACCCCAATGCTTTTGTGATTAACACGAATCTTTTATCAATTATCACACCTTGGAGGGTGGGGAGGCCCAGGGAAGCTGTGGCTGCCCCTGGATCCCTGGGAGTGTTCCAGGTTGGACACTGGGGCTTGGAGCAGCCTGGGGTAGTGAAACATCACAGAATCACTGAGGTTGGAAAGGCCTCCGAGGTCACCGAGCCCAGCGTGTTCCCGATGCCCACCTTGTCCCCAGCCCAGAGCACTGAGTGCCACGTCCAGGCATTCCTTGGGCACCTCCAGGGATGGGGACTGCACTTCAATGGGTGGCCACCCTTTCCACAGAGAATACATTTCCTGCTGCTGCACAAGATTTATTGAGCAGAGGCTTTAAATGTTCTTGACTTACCCCATTTCTTCTGTTTTTTAGGTGATCAGAGTGACAGGTTTTCTGAAAGGACTTTACACAGATTTTGAGTTGAAGTCAGATAACGTCAAGGTGAGCATGAGACTTCCATATTTATTTAGCTCTCAGCGTTCTTTGCAACTTGCTACAAGGTTCGTTTGGTCTTTTCTGTGTTCAGCGTCAAGGACCTGTTGTTATTTTTGTAAAGAAGTTGTGGAAGTTCCTGCCTGTGGGTTATACTATGCATTCCCTGGGGTGAACACCTATAGATTTGTGCTTAGAGAGGTTTTGAAGAGTCTTGTGGTCTCCCAAGAGAATCCGTGGTCCTAAACTTATTGCTCTATATATTTTTATGTATATACAAATACACATATATGTATGTGTGTATGTAATGATATATACATTAAATATCCTTGTTTAATATCCCAGGACTCAGCTGTCTAGGAAATGCATTCCACAGTAGCTTTATTGCAGTATAAAACTGGCTGATTATTGAAAGAGGAGGTTAATATTATCACTGAAAACTCCTTTTCTTAAGTCCAAGGGTGACTTTACTCTGTGTTTGCTGCTTTCCCCTGATTTTTGGCTGAGCTGATGCCGAGTTCTCCAGCTCCCAGCCTGATTTGAAAGCTTTGGTTGCTGATTCCTGGCAAACAAAGCAGTGTTTGTGTGTTCCACTTAGGCAGCTGATCCCATGGTGTTTGTTTAACATAGCAACTGAAGTGTGAGCTCTGAGAGCCTGACTTCCCATCCCTCCACGTTTTAGTCACTGATTAATGCATGTGTTTATTTCTGTGACTGCTCCTACCACTGTCAGGATAACTAAAATTTATAACTGAATGGTTGTTTTTTTGATAGTGTCCTTGTTGACCCAAAAAGCAGATTTGTCAGCAGCTCCTGAGCAGGTCTTGGTTGCATTTATGTGCTGCCATCTCTCTGAGAATTTCTCTCACAAATTTCTTTCACAGCCCATGAGTCCATGGGGTTTTCCAGAGCTCAGGCAGAGGAGATCAAAATCCTGGAGTATGGGGGAAAATGTCTCAACCTTGAGTTCCTCTTCCTGAAACACTTGGGAGGAAGATTTGGCTGCTTCTTTAATGTGATCTCTCTTGGAGTTGTAAAAGATGAGGAGAATAATTTTTATCTGAGTAATCAATAGGAGAGAGCTGTAAGGAAGACTGAAACCATGAAGATTCCTTAATTGTGAGGGCTTTTGTGAAATTTCACTTGGCTTTACTTTATTTATTTGATCTTTTATTTTTTTACTTCTGATTTTCCATAATCACTGGAGGACATCTCTGTTGAAGGGCAGCTGGGGCATGTTGTTTGTAAAGTATAATTATAAAATTAAAAGAAATCTGTTAATTGCGGAGATAAACGTTTCTATTAATTGCTCCTTTTACACCAGGATAAGGATTCCAAAATCAACTTCCTTCAGAAGGCCATCGATGCTGTTGTGATGGTGACAGGAGAGCCACTGTCAGTGAAACCTGCACGAGTGGTGGCTGGACACGAGCCCGAGAAAACCAATGAGTTTCTTCAGGCAATTGGGAAGTGTTGCTTAAATAAGGTGGGACAGAATTATACAGCTTTTATGCACACAGGGAACAGGGACTACAGGAGAGGGAATAGCCTCAGGCTGGGCCAGGGAAGGCTCAGGTTGGACATCAGGAGGAATTTCTCCATGGGAAAGGGTGGTCAGGCACTGGGAGGGGCTGCCCAGGGAAGTTTGGAGTCCTTATCCCTGGAGGTGTCCAAGGAACACTTGGAAGTGGCACTCGTTGCTCTGGGCTGGGGACAAGGTTGGGATCAGTCACAGGCTGGACTCGATGACCTTTGGAGGTCTTGTCCAACCCAAATGATTCTGTGCCTTAATTACCCCTCTTTTGTCATTAATTGCACAGTAGAAACGTTTTGTCACCCCTTAGTAACAGTAGATGGAGAATTCATGATCTTTAGCAAGAGTTTGAGCCAGCTTCCTACACAAATGCACTCTGAATATTAAGGATTTTAATGTTCACTGCTGTTCACTTTATTTGTTTGTCTTTTAATAATGTTTGTTAGATTGGAAGCTTTATTAGATTGGAACCCTTTAAAATTTTGGGGTACAGACACACTAATTATACAACCAGTTGCTCACCTTTGACTTTATCTCCTTTCAGTCAAATCTCTTAATTGTGAAATGAAAGTAATTTTTGCACTGTGCTTTTTTTGATAATGGAAATGTAATAATGGAGAAATTTGATAACTGGTTGAAAACAAATGCAGGGGCTGTTCTTACACAGAGTTACTGCATTCTTTCATGAAATTATTATGTTTTTACCCTGAATTGTGACATTCTTAAAATAATAATTACTGCGTTCATTATTTAATGGAACAGTTTACTCATTTCAGTGGTGTTTTTCTGTTCCTTGCAGCTGTCCAGTGATGCTGCTGTAAAAAGAGTCTTGGCTGGGGAAAAAGCTGATGCTAAAGGAAAACCTCCACCCTCTAAACCTCGAGATAAAGAAAGCAGAGAGCCCAAAGCAGAAGAACAAAAAAGCCATAGGAATAAAGAGGTAGCACTTGCATTTTTGGGGGAATACAGGAGTACCGTGATTTATTTGTTTGGGGTTTTTTTTAGCATTTTTGTGTTTGCAGAGTCACTGTATGATTGAGTTGCCATGAGTTGGAATTAATTTTAATGTTTGCTTTCTTTTTAGAGCAGGAGAGACACTGAAATTAAAGACAGAAGCCCCAGCAGAGACAGAAAACACAAAGGAGATTTGAAAGAGAGCAGAGAAAGAGAAAAGGAGAGGGATAAACAGAAGAATAATGAAGAGAGGCACAAAGAACCTGAAAGAGACACCTCGAAGGAAGGAGAAAAACAAGAGAGGGAAAGAAGCAAAAGCAGAATAACCAAGCAAGGAAGAGAAACAGAAAAACACAAAGAAAAAGGAGACCCAGAGCAAAGAGATGACCTTGGGCATGATAAAGGACAGGAAAGGGAGAAAAGACGTGAAGGAGGAAGAGAAAAGGACAGGCTGAAAGGAAGAGATAAAAATAGAGACAGAGAAGGAGAGAAAGACAGAGAGAGAGGAAGAGATCGGGACAGAGAAAAGGATGGGGAGCATTTCAGGGAACACGGAAAGGAGAAAGCAGAGAAAAAGGTAATTGAAATCTTATTTTGGAGAAGCACTTTCCCCACACTGTGGTTGGGTCTGCGTTTGTTACAGTGGCCTTCTGTGTTTGTATTCCTGCTCATTCAGCAGGAAGGGACCTTGTTCCAAACCCCTGCCATGGGCAGGGACACCTTCCACTGTCCCAGGCTGCTCCAAGCCCCAGTGTCCAACCTGGCTTTGGGCATTCCCAGGGATCCAGGGGCAGCCACAGCCTCTCTGGGCACCCTGTGCCAGGGCCTGCCCACCCTGCCAGTGAAGAATTCCTTCCCAATATCCCATCCATCCCTGCCCTCTGGCAGTGGGAAGCCATTCCCTGTGTCCTGTCCCTCTAGGCCCTTATCCAAGTCCCTCTCCATCTTTCTTGTTGGCTCCCTTCAGGTGCTGGAGGGCCTTCTCAGAATTGGAACTGAATGGTCTTGAAGGTCCCTTTCAACCCAAACCCGTCTGAGATTCCTGGATATTCTAAGGATTTTAAGTCCTAAACTGCCTTGAAAGCCATCTCTTCATTGCCTTTCATTTTGCTATTCTTCTGTTTCTTCCTCCTCTAAATATTTATTTTTCTGCCATTCTATTCTGTTGCTAGAAATTCAGGATTGATGGGAACCAAAATGCTTCTCTTGAGTCTAAACCAGTTCATTTATTTCCAGCCCTCAGATTCTGAAGAATCCATGCTTAGAAAGCCACAGAGGTCAACTAAAGACAGCAAGTGCCAGCCAGACGCTGAGGTTAGTAGTGGAGGAGGTAGGAATATTCAAAGTGTGACATTTTCATTTGGGACTCTGCTTGAAAACAGTGTAGGGTTGAAAGGTAGGTGAAGGGCAAGTTTTAGGGCTGGTAGAGACATGAAATAGATGCTTCCCTGAGTTTTTTGGTTGTTAATTTATTAAAAATTTCTCAGAACTCAGACAAAAAAAAAAGTCTACTCACTTTATTTTAAGATTTTATTTCTGTGTATTCATGTTTTGGACACTTCTTAGGGTCACAGACTGGTTTGGATTGGGAGGAACCTTAGAGCTCATCTCTTCCAACCCCCTGCCATGAGTTTTCTTTATTCCTCAGAATCTTTCCTGGAAAGCTGATACGGTTCCTGTATTTACTTTTGAATTTTAGCAGAAGTTACTGTTTTGGAAAGAAAATGAGTCCAGTGTTGTTTCAGGGTCCATGTTTTGCATCTGGAAGAGCTTCTCAGTGTCTCTGCGCAGAAGCTGCTGCGTGTGACACCACTGTGCCTCCATCTGCTGCTTCCTGATGACCTGAGGCAATTTGGGGAATTATGGAGCCACGTGGCCAGATGTTTAAAGAGGGAGACTTCAGTAAATGAACCTAAAGCAGCACAGGCTGAGGAAAAACCAGGCAGGATCCCAAGACTAGTGGGAGTCACTGAGCCCACTGACATTACTGTGTCTTCCCCATGAGATGACAAATTTATGGCTCTTCCTTGACTCCAATCCTACCAAACTCTTTAAGTTATTGGCACTGAGAGGGAGAACTTATAAAAGAGGTGTATTTTGTTTTTAGCCTCCAGCTAAATATTCATGGCCAAGTCAAACTTCCTGCAAATTGGGTCTCTAATGGAAATTCTGAGCCTCATCCCAAGCTCTCGTCGTGCTCTTGGGCACCACAATAATGCAGCAAAGCAGTAAAGTTTCATTTCCCCTCCTAAGTGCTTTTGGGAGGGATTCCAAGGCCTTGGAATTATTACCTGAAATCCAAATGACATTCCTGCCTCTGCCTGCTTGCGTAACAGTGGAGGCTGCTCGTTTCTGAGGTGATGAAAACACAAACTTTTAGAGCAGAGCATGGCAAATGTCATCATTTTAAAGCTGTGGAAGGGAGAAATGATGTGACAGCGTGCCCACTGAATTTTGGGTGCTGAGATAGCTTGCACAAAGTGACTTAGAGGGAATTCCAGCAGGAAATCATTGGAAATTGCATCCCCTGGATTTGGCTTGATCTTCTGGTCCTCACAGAAGTTTCCCAGCCTTTATTTCCAGGGATTTACTCCGATTTAACCACTGTGGCTACACCTGGGTCACGTGGCCATGAAACAAGTGCACTGAAAAGAAAACAACTTTCTGTGCACATGAAGGATATTGAATCGTATTTTGTGGTCTCTGCTGCAGAATTTATACATCTTCAGCATCTCTCTTTAGCTTTTTATATGTATTTTTTCTGTAGATAGTTACAGAATATATATATTCACTATAATAGAAGTGAAGCAGTTTGAGGCAGTACCCAACAAGTCAGCCACTGTTTTTTCCCCTCAGGATTAACTTCTTTAAGTTTTTACTGCATTTACTTTAGAGAACAGATCAATTTAGCTTTTGGGTATTTTTAAAATACTCTACATGGACAGCAAAGCTGTCACTTAAAGTTTAGTCCCTGGCTTTGCTTAATGAGATTTTCACTATTTCATGCAAATCTGGTTTTTTTGCTGCTAATTATCCACACCAGCTTTCAAATCTGCTTAAGGCTGACTTTTTTTTGTAATTTAAATGTATTTTTCTATTGCTAAAGAAACTCTTTGTGTTACCCAGTGTGCAGTAGTCATCACATGGGTATCCATAATTTTCTGGAGCTAGAAGAAAGCAGAGATAAGTAGGAATTAAGAGACATTTGGCTACCACATGGCAATCAGAAGCTGCCTCAAGGCTGGCTCTTGCATCCTGCAGTTTGGAATCAGGGTTGAATTGTGTTCTGTTCACTCTCAGTCCATCTCAGGGAAAAATCAGATTTAAAATGGCCTTTTGGATCTTCTGAATAATGAAGATCATTATTATTTAGACTTGACAAGAGGTGGGAGAGGTCAGAGAGCATCTGGTGCTGGAAGTGGCTACAGAGCAGGTAAATAATTTCCCCCCGAGGCCAAACACTTTGGGAAAGTCTTTTCTGTGTTTCCCGTGGCAGCTGGAACTCTTGGCTAAAGCTTTCTGTAATATCCTGTCACTTCTGGCCACTAGCAGAATGGGTTTGATTTTTGACCTGCAAACTCTATGGCTCTGGAAGTGGTCACTTGAAGCAGCCTCTAAGTCCTACCTAATGAACTTCTTTTCCTCTTTGAACTTATTTAGGTTATGTAATCAAACTGTGGAATTAAAAAGAGGACAGCAGAGAGATTCATTCCACAGAAATCTGCAGGACGTGGCTCAGATACCTCTGTTCTGGGAATGTGCCTCTCTCTTTGGTGTCACTGCATCAGAAATCCATCATTTAAACTGCTTTAAAAACAGATTTTCCTCATCTCTTTGTGTTTGAGTAGTTTAAATTTGCAGATTCTAATACCAATAGGGCATCAACTTGCAAGACTTCAGGTGAGGAAAAGATAATTGAGTGATATTTTCCTAGTAAGTAGTATCACTCAAACTGCTCTTAGCAAGTGGAGATCTTTCCTTATATGTGGTTTTATTTATATAAAATACCTGCACACTTTATACTGTAGAGATGGAAAGATACCCCCTGGTGCTGTGGATTTAATTAGAGGAAAATTGTTGTGGAGGGTTGATGTGATGAAATCGCCATTCAAAGACTTAATTCTTATTTATTTTTAGAGAACCATCAGTAGAGCTGATGAATTAGAGGGGGAAATCACAGTGACTTATTTTATCATGAGCTCTGAAACACCAACAAACATTTTCTTCTGTCCTGAAGTGAAATTTGGCCTCTTTAGAGGTTAATAATGAGGACAAAGCAGCAGACTGGATGGTTTGCAGAAGGCTCTGGATCCTCTCCACATGGAAACATAATTACTCAGGCCTGGGAAGCATGCATGCATCCATCAAGGATTCCACTGTAATGTGTTTTTTTGCAGGATGGTGTGAGATGAAGTGCAAGATTTCCTTTTAATGGCTCCAGTGGCTGCTTTTCAAAGTCTTAAAGGGGAATAACCTCTTTTATCTCCCTTTGGAAAGCCCCCCAATCATGAATATTGTGGGCTTTCTGTTTTTGTATGCTGCCATGGTGAGTCAATGTCAGCTTTCACCCTGCACCCGCTGCCAGGCTGCACATGTGGCTCCACAAAAATTCTGTTTGTAGCCACATAAATAAACGACTAAATCCCCTCTTGCAGCAGCCTCAGCACCTATTCCCAGCTCCCTCCCCACCTGTGCTAATAATGACCTCACCCAGAGAGCTGCTGAGGCTGGGGTGTGCCAGATGTGCTCCTGATGGGGTAGGAGCTTTCCTTTCCCTCCTTCCATAGTGTTGGGCTTGTGGAGGTAATTATGAAGAATTAAAATTGAGAGGAACCACTTCAAGATTGCAGTTCTGTCTGTTTTTCCTTGGAACATGCCAGAATCTCCTTAAAAGGAACACTTCATGCTGGTGGAAAGCTTCTCTGTTCAGGGCAGGAGGTGGAAGGGGATGAGCTTTAAGGTCCCTTCTACTCAAACCATTCTTTGATGGCATAAAAATGGCAGAATTTGTGATTCTCAGGTCATCACTATGGACATTGGAGGTCTTTTCCAACCTTAATGATGATCAGCAGGGCTGAGACAAAATCCTGGATGAAAACTGCAAAAAAAAAAAAAGCACATAAGGAAGGAGATGCTGGGGGGTGCTAAGCATATTTCAGGATTTTGGATAATAGACAGGGTTTTTATCCAGGGAAGTTGCCATTTAAGTAATGGACCATGTAAGCCTGGTAGCATGATTTTTAAATCCTTGCTCCTGTTTTGGAATGAAGTCTAAAAGCTTTTGCAGCAGGTTGAAGAGGAGCTGTGTATCTGCTGCAGCTGAAACACAGAGGTGGTTGTCAGAATCTTCCTCCTTTTAATAACCCCTGATATCCTTCAAGTCCAGCACAGGTGCTCTGCAGCTTCCACGAGGTTGAATACTCCTAATTCCCATTTGGAAGTTGTTTTTCCATCAAATAAGTTCATGTGAAAGAAAATAGCTGGCACGTATCCAGGAAAAAAATATCCACAGGCTTTGAGGGAAATAAATTCAGCATAAATGTGTGGATCAATTCTTAGGTCAATATTTGTTCTGTATAATGCTTAGAAAAGCAACACAGGGAAGTAGATTTTAGATATAATGGTATAATATTTAAATCTACTGTTATATAAATTTCTGGCCTTTTTGTTTTGTTTGTTGTTTTCTTTTTCCAGAATGAAACTCCTGCAAGGATATCAAAGCAGCCTTCAGCAAAAGGATCAAGGCATCGCTCCAAGCCCGGAGAAGAAGGTAACCACAGGGAGGATATTGTTATTTCTGTCACATATGCTGGAGAGTTATTGAGTTGGAATAGCAGAAATACTTAAATATCCCTGTTTATTATTGTCAGGGTTTGGTTTGTACTCCCAGCCTGCATTTGTGAATCCAAAAGCCCATTTTCCTGCCTGCATTTGGGATATAGGAAACAAGATTCAGTTGTGTTTGCTCTCGTTCCCCAGGCACAGTTGCAGATACAAATTCAGCCTGCTTTGGTAATTTCTGTGTAATTACTCTCTAAATGAGCTTTTGGACTTGTCTGCAACTGTTTCTGACATTTGACATTTGTTAAATATTTACAGCAGAGCAAAGTGAAGGTTTGAGCCTCAAAATGGTTTTAATTGGGTTTAATAGGCAATTGGGCCAGGCTTTCCAAATAAATTATTTCTTTGTGGAGGTGCTTCCTTGCAATTACATCACCAACTTTTGTAGTTCAGCCTTCAAATACTGTATTTAAACACTGACTGGAAAGTGGATTATCTTCAGAATATCCCAAATATGCACATCAGGAAGAAAGGAATCTTAGCTTAGCACTGCCATCCCTTTTTGTAGGAAACTCAGAGGAAGAGCCTGGAGAAACTCCTGGATAAGAAATAAAAGTGGCTGGTACCCAGAGCTCAGACAGCAGCAGTGGCACTGCAGTTTCTGTCTGTATTTCCCCCTCCTCTTATTTCAGGGATTGATCCTAATTTCCTTTCAGTGCTTTGTGCCCCTGGTGTTCTAATCCTACAGAAGTCACTGTACATAAATCACTTTAAAGTCTGTGTTCAGAAGATTCAGTGGCACCTGTGAATTGATGCCTGCTAAAAACAGCCAGTTCTGGTTAAAAATTGGTGCTGTTTAGACTAATGAAGATCTTCATACACTTAATTTGCCAATCTCAATATTATTCATTTATTTAAAGAGATCTTCTGTTGCTGGATGTCTTCCCAAGCACCCACGGTTTTTTTTGGATTTCTGTTTTAGGTTTCCATGTGTCTGAGGCAAAATACTGGAGTTATAGCAGTCCTGCTTTCAGGATAATGAATAGCCCTGTTTGGGCACCTGAAATACCTTGGAAAAACTCTGGCACTTGGGATCTGAATTTAGGAGCCTCATTCAAGTTGGTGCTAGAAAATTGAAATTTTTATGTCACATCTCCTGTGCTGTGAAGTCTGAGTAATTTAGCAGCTGAACAACCCCTGTCTGGATTCCATTAAAACTGCAGCCTTATTTTACAGCTTAGTGATCCTTAGCTGATCCTATAACTTCTTTTATTTCCCAAGATTTCAGTATTTGTTTTATATGGCACTAAACTGCAAGGACTGGACACACCCCATTTATGAGATTGTCCCTTTAAAACCAGAATCCAGTTTTCCTGATCAGTTTAATACAGAGAATGACTTTAGGGTGAATATTTAAAAATACTCCTCTTTCCCTGATGCAGCACTCAAATTTTAGTTTAGAGCCAGGAATATTTTGTGGGTTTACCCCTTTTTTTGTTCTGACACAGTGGGATTGCCATAGGTGAATAATCCAGAGGGGAGGAGAACTTTCTGGAGCTGTGCTGATGCATGTTGCACACTGGTGATGACGATCAGAGCTTTCTATTTTATCTTATGTTAATTAGAAATAAATCAATGTGCAACAGGAGGGAATGTCTCTTCTCCGTGGGAAGATAAATTATAGAGGTTCATACTGAATATTTCAGCTTTCAGGAGTTCAGTCAGCACTCATTTAAAAAGTCTTTGTGCACCTTGAATGTGTTTTATTGACACTGAAGAGGGTTTATTAAACTAGGGTAGCCCTTAAACAAATCCTAACAGGTATTTAGCATGGCTTTTTATTTTGAATTTTTATTGGCTCTTGGGTTTCATTTGACTATAAACTGGTTTGTTACAGGAGCTGTGGACACGAGGAGCATGGCAGATGGGATTTCAGAGGATGGTGCTGCTGAGCTGCAGGAGAAAAATGAACCCGGCCTTGCAGAAAAACAGAAAGGTAGGGAAGGTTCAAGTGGGACTGCCATGGAGAGCCCAGCTGGAGTGTTTGTTTCAAATCCATGCAGCTTAATGATGTAAGGAGGGTGATTTATACTTAATCCAACAGCTGCCATGTGTTTTAATCACATCTGATTCATGTTCTGCCTTGAAAAATGTCCATCCCCTGATAAAGCAATTGCTTTTATTTTCTTACTCCTATTCTTCTGTTTTCCAAGAGGCAAATGCTGCCCCTGAATCTCTTGGTGACTTGTTCTCTGTAAGAACTGAATCTTTGCCTTTCTGTGCAATTATTTGGGAGTCTCGGTGTTAGCATTTTACAGGATTCCAGAGGAAAATACCATCCCTGCATTCTTACTTCTCCATTTCCCCCCCCAAGCTGGATATAGCTCCCAAGACATGGATTTGTCTGCAGCTACAACACACATGGAGCCATGGAAGCAAAGTGCAGGAGGAGGAGCTGAAATTGCAGCAAAAAGCTGCATTTTTGTTCCCTCCAGATGCACATGCTTGAGGTGGTTGGGAGGATGGATTCCCATGGATGTGGGAGGTGCTCCTAGCCCACCTCTGACCTCCAGGGCCTCTTGGCTGTGGCAGCCTAATGAAGTATAGATGGATGGCCAAGACATTTGTGTGACCTTCCCCAGCTGGGAGAACGTCCATGCGAGTTCCCTTCCATCCCTTGGAGCTGTCTTGTCCTCTGGAATGCATCTGGGATGGAAAATAAATTTATGCTGTGACAGGGGTGCATGTAAGAGGAGTACCCCCAGGTTCATTATTGATTTGGATTGGATCCCCTGGTGGTGTGAGAACCAAATATTCTGAATCAGAAGAATAATGAAGGTTGGAAAAGATCTCCAAAATTATCAAGTCCAACCTTTACCATTAAGTTCAACCTTATTTTATTGAATGATCTTGATTTTCAGCTTTATTCACTAAGGCACTGTAAACCCTTCATTTTTTCGGTTCAGGACCTTTAAGATCCCAAATCCAAGCCATTCCATGAGCCCAGGATTATAAAACATTGTTTATTAGCTGAAATAAACTGATTTTCCTGGATCTTTCAGAGCATTATTTCTGTCTGCTCCAGTTATATTTTGTTGCAGAGCAATGAGGCTCTGTATCCCAATTTTCCTGGCCTGGGAATAAGTTCCCAGGTTCTGTATGTAATTCGTCCTTGTGTGCTTCCTGCCTAGCTTGATCAGATTGCAGAATAAATAGAACTTTTCTGAAAAATCAGTCTGTTTGTTATTTACAGATTAATTTGCCAGAGACTCAGTAACATTCCAGTGACAGAAGAGCAGCATCAAACATAGTTGAAAACTTTTAGCAGGAAAAAGTGCTTTTTAATAAATCAAGCTCTTCTCTAATGCTTTTTGCCCTTTTTGTGATGTATTATAGAATTCTTAAACATAACTGGGCTGAGTTTAGATGCTTTGAGTAGACTTTATTCAAGGAGTAGCCACCACCTCAACCAAGAATCCCAGCAGGGGAAGATAAGAGGTTAAGGGAAACAAAAGCATTGAGCAAGATGATGTCATTTTCACAGAAGGGGGAATTTCACAGTATTAAGTAACTTACAAAAATAAAGAAATTTAACTGATTTTTAACTGCAGTGCTAAGATTCCAAACACTGTCATAAGAAAAAAGAGGTTTTCTTAGCCCAGCTAAGCCATATTTTATGTTGTTTAATAGAAAGAGAAGGGGAGAACGTGGCTCCTGAAAAGCCTGAAAATGGAGAAGCACCTCCTGATGTCCCACCTCAGCCTGCCCAAAGGTGTGTTTCCATCCTTTATTCCGTTCTTAATCCATAAACTGCTTCCATGGAATGTTCCATGCAAAATTTTTTTGCTTCCATGCAAGATTTTTGAGGAGAACATCTCATTTCCTCTGTGCATTCCAATAGGGATAAGGTGAACTTGCTTTCTAATTCAAATGTTTGAATTTTTTTTTTTTTTTTTTTTTTTTGCTCAGCAAAGGCTTGTCACTTGTGAAAATGATTTTTCCCCATTCCCTCTGTTATTCAGACGGATTCCTCGTCCTGGCAGCGCGAGGCCAGCACCTCCACGAGTGAAACATCAGGAGAGCACCGAGCTCTTAGTCCCAGAAAGGTGAGGGATGAGGGAGATGCAGAGTCGGTGTTCCTTGGAACTCACCCTTCCCAGCTCCTCTGGCATGGTCAGTTTGGGTGGGGACATGTGGAGTTCCCATCCCTGGAGTGTCCAAGGAAGGCACTCGGTGCTCTGGGTGGGGATTGCTCACAGGTTGGACTTGGAGAGCTTTTCCAGCCTCAGTGATTGTGGGATTCTGTGATCTTTTGATGGCTTTTAGTTGAGCTGAGTTTATTCTGGATAGATCTCAGTATTTCCATTCATTGCCCTTTTCCATGTGTCCCTGGCAGGAGTGGCAGTGCTAGAACAACCCCGAATGTGATCAGGGAGCAGCAGGTTTCTGACGAGGAGGACGAGCAGTTCGTGGTGGAGGCAGAAGTGCCCCTGCCAGAGATGCCAAAGGTCTGTTCCTGTTGCAACTTTTTGAATCTTTTTCCATTATTTTATTTGGAATGTCCAGCCTGGAGAGGAGAAGGCTCCAGGGACACCTCAGAGTCCCTTCCAGGGCCTAAAGGGGCTCCAGGAGAGCTGGAGAGGGACTGGGGACAAGGGATAGAGGGACAGGACACAGGGAATGGCTTCCCACTGCCAGAGGGCAGGGATGGATGGGATATTGGGAAGGAATTCTCAGCTGGGCTGGAATTCCCAGAGAAGCTGTGGCTGCCCCTGGATCCCTGGAAGTGTCCAAGGCCAGGTTGGACATTGGGGCTTGGAGCAGCCTGGGACAGTGGAAGGTGTCCCTGCCCATGGATGGAGTGTGATGATCTTTAAGGTCAAAATCTCTATCTTCCCACCCAAACCATTCCATGGTTCCCTGCCTTATTGAAATATCCTCCAGCTGACGATTTTTGAATAGTTCCATATTTCAGCAGTGTCAACTTTTTGCAACTAAAGCTGTCTTCCTGCATGTGTAGGAGCCAGAAGTGGAGCTGCTTGAGGATCAAAAGCATGGTACGTTTGCTTTTATCTATATTGATACAGATCTAGAATCAACCCCTGGGTTTAAACCAAATGCTGAAAGCTTAAAATGCTGAACAGAGCAGTAAAATCTCCCCTGAGGGAAGGGCTTTGCAACGTTTGCAGGAAAACCAACTTATTTACCCAGGCTTGTTTTCCTGTGCAGCTGGATTGACAACTGTGGTAAGGACACATTTTCTATGCATCCTTAATGTCAGCAGGATTTAAAATTCTGCATAAAGCTCATAAATTAACGTTTCTTCAAGCATCAGGTACAGCTTGTCAGCTCTGAGATAGAAGGTTGGATTTAAAGACAAGTTCTAGAACAGCTTGGGAGAAAAAAGGTCAAATAACAAATACCTTGTGTGTCAGTTCTTAAAATACAAAGTAAAATGCTGTTTACGTTGCTCTAAAATTTGTCTGCATTAAAAAAATAAAACAGTTGGGTTTTGTTTTAGTGTGAATGTTTAAAACTATTTAGTGTCCATCAATGCTTAGAAAAATCACGGTTTTTCAACAGGTGGGCTGGTGAAAAAAATCCTAGAAACGAAGAAGGATTATGAGGCATCACAGAAATCATCACAGACCACAGACAGGGTGAGGTGGCAATGGCCTTCAAAGAACTGGGAGATTAAATGTTTCAATTGTGACCTTTTTCTTTGCTTTAAATGTGTTTTATTCCATTTATGATCAAGCTTTTTCTCTGTCATGTCTTGTCTTGCTTATGTGATTTTTTTCCACAGTTGAGAAAGGGAGGGTAGGTTTGGTTTTTGCTGGGTTTGGTAGGGGGTTTTTTGGTTGTTTTGATCACTTAGAAAGTGTTTGGGAAGGATCTAGCAGCGCTCACAAACCAGAAACAAAAGCTTGAACCCCTCATATTTGAGTGTCTTGCTGTTACAATGGAGAGCTGTGACTTTGTCAGCCTTGCAGAGGTCCTGGTATGAGAGGAAGCAAAGGCAGGACACTGAGATGGACTCTTCTGATCCCTCGTCCCCATGGAAAGTTTCTAAATCCATTATGATATGCTGGGGAGAGGCACTGAGGCACTGCAGTGATAAAAGCCTCAAAATTAGACAAGTATGTGATGTCTTGGGGAGGTGAATGCATTTAATGAGCTCTTATATCTTCCAATCACGTTTATTTTGATCTTAATTCAGTATTGTAGGGTTTTCCTGTATTCTTTTCAGGAATGCTCTGTAGTGTTTGAGACCAGAGCTCTGTGAAATCAGTGGTGACTCTTGAAGACTGTTGGAACAGACCTGTCTGCCTCTTTTGGCTTTCCTTTCTTTTCCAGCACGTTCAGAAAGTTGGGATGGCAGATTTGACTCTTGGGGTACCATCCTTCTTTCTGGAGTTTGGGATTGGCTGAGATCCAGGCCTGGAAAAAATTTCCTTTCATATATTGCAAGGGCTGGGATTGATGAGTCCATGCAGGGTTAGGTAGGATATTGGAAAGGAATTGGGAGGGTGGAGAGGCCCTGGCACTGCCCAGAGAAGCTGTGGCTGTCCCTGGATCCCTGGGAGTGTCCAAGGCCAGGTTGGACATTGGGGCTTGGAGCAGCCTGGGACAGTGGAAGGTGTCCCTGCCCATGGCAGGGGTGGGATGGGATAGACTTTAAGGTCCCTTCCAGCCCAGATTTCTCTGGGATGATTCTATAGCTTAAGAAACTGAATCCTTCTGAAAAGAGGAAAACACCTTGAGATTGCTGCCCATAATCTGTTAGGAGTAGTTTTAGCTTTCCCTAACTTGCTGAATTTCATCTGTTTCTTAGAAATGTGCTTCTTGTGGTCACTGTGGTCACTGAAACCCCTCTGGCTGCTTGGCATGAGTTTATCCAATGGGAAAATTTGCCTTCTTGGTGAAATCCTGCCTTTAGAGAATTGTTTGACAATTCTCTAAAGACAAAGAAAAGTTCCAGGTTGATTCTGCTGTTTCTGTAGCTGCTCCAATGCTCGTTCCTGAGCTGGCACTTGAGCTCAAGCCATGCAGCTGTCCCTGTTCCCGGATTTATAACTAGATGGTGCTGTTGGATCATCAGTTCCCAGGCTCAGTTTGGGAAGAGCATTAGGAGTTCATTGATGCTGTCTCTCAGCACTCCCTCACTGTGAGCTGCCCTGTTTGGTGATGTGTCCTGTCCAGCACTGGGCATGGAACAGGAATAATGGGGGAAGATTCACAGTCACATGGATTTCAAGCTCAGGAAGCTTCCTGTGGTATCTGTGCTAAATTTTCTGGTTGGCTTTTTTACCTGACTGAGAGTAACAAGCTAAAACAGTCCCTTTTTAACCCCTTAAATATTTTTAAATGGCCAATTGTCACCCTGTACAGTCACCGTTGAGTCCCATCACTGCTTTTCAGCCCCTGAAACATTCATTCAGTGCTTGTTTGGCTTTTGCTGCAGTTTTGAAGCCCTGCTCTGTGTTAGCAGTGCTGAGAATAGACAGCTAATTCTGGAAAAAAACCTGCTGACTTCCTAGTCCATCCCGTGGAAACCTGCCCAAGCTCCTGGAATACCACGGGATCACAAGCAGCGATCCAAGAGCTGGCTGCTACTGCAGGAGGTTCCTTTGCTGCTACTGCTTTTAAGATTATGGTGTGGAAGTGGTTGGGATCCACAGAGGAGTGTGGTTCTCCTGGAATTGTGACCAGACAGGAGTGTGGTTCGCCTGAAATTGTGATCCAGAGGGAAGTGTAGTTTTCCGAAAGCAGAATTGAATGAAAAAGATGATTAAAAATGCTTGAAATGTGTGACAGGCACTTGACAGTTCAGAAAACAAGAGCTGGAGACACGATTGAATCCTGGGAAATGATTTTAGAGAATGGTGTTGATGTGACAGTAAAAGTAAAAAAAAAAACAACAAAACAACAAATTTCCAACGTGGCCTTACCTCTGGGAATGTTTCTCTGTCTATTTAATTTGCTTTCCATCAAAATCTCCAGGAGAAATCTCTTCTGCATTAGGATGCAACTGTATTCCAAACTGTGTTGTGCATCACAGAGTAAAATTAAGGGTACTGCCATATTTTTGGAGTAAGGTATCCAAAAGTCCAGGGAATACTTGAAAGAAAACTTCCTTTGGGAAATTCCATCTTCCCTCTATCTGTCACTAGAATGTTCATCTTCCCTCATTTAATTAAACTGTTGAATACATCCAAAAGAAATGAAATTATTTTCCCACTTCTATTCATTAATCTTTAAAGCCTTGATCTTCTGCCAGTTGGGAAGATGAAGAGGGAAAAAATAGCAGGCTGAGTGCTGGAACTTTTGGTTAATACATTATTAACTCCAGTATTCAGCAAAAAAAAAATTATCAATGTATCTACATGATTTATTGGGGATTAATCCACCAGAAATGAGGTGAAGTTGGTGGATTAATACTTAATCCAAATGTAACACTGGTGCCCTCTCAGGGATGTTTCACGCCTTCCAGCTGCTGATGGCTGGGGAACATTTATTTATGTTAAAAACATTCCTTCAAAACCCTTTCTGTGCTGTGTTTCCCAAACATGCATTTGCTTTTTAAGGAGTTTTAATAAAGGAAAAGAAGGGAGAAGGAAAGAAAACTGGGGCTTTCATCATCTAGGTTTTGCATGTGCAGAAACTTAAAATAATATACACAATTTTGAGGTCAAACAAAGAGGTCATTCTGGAAATACACAAGATTTTTGCTGCCTTGATTAGCTGTGTTCAGCCTAACAAATTCCTAAAAAAACTTCCTAAATGTATTTGTTTAGAATCTAAGCCTCTAATGTTAACCAGAGAAAGAAACAGATGTTCCATTTTGTATTCCACTTCATTTATTTGATGTGTGGAAAAACGTAGGCAGGTTATTAAATAGCTGAAGCAAGTGGGATAACAGAATTCCCATCTTTGCACAACCCAAAGGGCTTCAGAAAAGCAGCAGCTCAGAGGCTTCTGGGAGGAACAAGTGGTATTGAATAGCTCAGCACCTGGCCAATATTAACTTGAATTACCAGTGTGGTACATTATGCATTTCAGAGCTTAGGACAGATCTAATCAGTGCTGATTCTGTTTGTTTGAAGAGCTGCAGGTCATTGATTTTTACATTAATCCATCAGCTGCACAGCTCTGGGTGAGCCCTCCAGTCCCTGCAATTAATATGCTGTGCTAAGTAGCTAGAATTAGAAATCCCAGCAGCATTTAGGTGCTTGGAGGGGGCTCCTCATTCCCACTTCCAGCTTGGTGTGTCCTCAGGAGTGCTGGCAGGGAAATGGAGGAGTTACCTATGGAAGGGTTTTCACCTCTGTGACATCTCTGTCAGTGCTGATGTGATGCTAATTCGGTGGGAAATCGCGGGTGCAAGCACACAGTTCCTCAAAAATAGGATTTTTAACCCAGCAGCTGAGCAGCACAGGAGCTCTCAGTGGAGACAGTGTGTGCTTCTGGGTCCTTACACTGCTCCCAGCTCTCAGGGAGCAAAAATGTGGACCCCAAGCAGTTGTGCTATAAGCTGTGAACACAGGAACAGGGCTCTGGCCGCCCTTGGGATAATCCCGGTGTCAGGGCTCCTTTGTGCCCCAAACCACAGAATTCCTGTCCTGTGGGTGCAGTATAAATCCAAGTGAGACAGCAGATGGATCTGCAGACACAAAGGATGTGTAAAAGTGGTGAGGCAGCTGTGGTTGCCCCCCGGGAGAGGGTGCAGCGTGTAAAGGACACAGCACAGGGCCTGTCACGTCTTTCAGGTGCTGGGGCACAGCCTGGGGGGAGGCAAGCTGTTTTACACAAGGAGCAGGTTTATTCCTTAATTCCTTAAGGCTGCTCTTTCAGGATGAAGAGGTTCTGGACATGGGGAGCATGAGGAGAAAGGGAAGGCTGGGCAGAACTGGCACCAGTTAATGTAGCACATCGTTAATGTGTTCTGCTGTCACTAATTAGAGCTGGAATAGTCTCCTGGCTTGTCTCCTCTGCCTCAGGATTTCCAGGGCTGGAGCCCCTCTGCTCTGGAGCCAGGCTGGTAGAGCTGGGAATGTTCACCTGGAGAAGAGAAGGCTCCAGGGAGAGCTCAGAGCCTCTTCCAGAGCCTAAAGGGGCTCCAGGAGAGCTGGAGAGGGACTGGGGACAAGGGATGGAGGGACAGGACACAGGGAATGGCTTCCCACTGCTAGAGGGCAGGGACAGATGGGATATTGGGAAGGAATTGTTCCCTGTGAGGGTGGGCAGGCCCTGGCACAGGGTGCCCAGAGAAGCTGTGGCTGTCCCTGGATCCCTGGAAGTGTCCAAGGCCAGGCTGGACACTGAGGCTTGGAGCAGCCTGGGACAGTGGAAGGTGTCCCTGCCATGGCAGGGGTGGGATGAGATGGGCTTTAAGGTCCCTTCCAAGTCAGACCATCCCACAATTCGATGATTTTGCTGTGTGTGCTGAATACTGCCCCAAATAGAGGAGGTTTTGGGAACTCACTTCTCCCCAGGAAAGCAGGGTGTGTGTGTGGGCTGGAGTAGCTGTTCATCAACGGGTGAAAAGTCCAGCTCTTTTTGGAAGGATTAAATATGAACTGAAGGGAAAACCACTACCCTCCAAGAAAAAGAGAAAGGAGATTGAAAAAGCTCTCTTGAAAGAGCCATTCTTTTATTTTCTTGTGGAGCCTTCCAGCTCAGGAGCAGGTCAGACTGACTCTGGGAAATGCAGTGATAAAGAACATTGTGTCTCCAACTCCTTGGCCTGTGCCTGAACCCCATACCTGGCATCAGCAGAAAAAGCATCCTGTTCATTTGAAATGCTTTAACATTTACTGTTTCCCCCCTGGTTCTGTGAAAGAGTTTCTTATGGGGATCCCTGGTGGATAGTTACAATCTACTTAAAACACAGACTCTGTAAAAACCAGGAAAAGAAAACACCCTTTATGATCAAAAAATATATTTTATACAATTAAAAAAAAACGCCCCACCTTGTTGGTTTTGCACTGGATATATCCCAGTTACTTGACCAAAATGAAGTTTCTTCCCTGTCCTGTAGAAAGAGGTGGGGGAAAATAGTGGAGCTCAATAAAACTGTGATTACTTGGGTCTGTTTTCCTAGTGGGACATAATAATAGAGTTAAAAGGGGCTGTAGAAACTATTAAAATGCTTGATGGATGCTTGTACTAATTTGATTCATATTTAAAAACCTGTTAATTAAAAAAAAAGAAGCAAAGGAGAAGGTATATAAAAGTAAGCAAATGCTGTTTCTTGCAATTCTGGTGGTTTCTGGAGCCATGTTGATAATTTCCCCTTTCTTGATTAAAAAAGAAAATTTCTGCTTTCAGATTTCTCAGGTGTCTGCACCCAAGTCCACATTGTGTTCTGCTCACATTGAGGTAATGGGAAAAGCAGCCTTTTTTTCCAGGAATCCAAAGTAAACATTTATCTTGGTGCCTTATGAAAAACACGAAGGAAGGGAAACGTGTTGGGCCTACAGAAGTCACCCAGCCTTTTATACAGGGATAATTTATTGATTCTGGGGCTGTTGTGAAAGGGGAGTTCGTTGAGGTGTAGGGCCTAATGAAAAAGCCTGGAACAATTCGGGTTCTGGCATTTTCCTCCCGCCTGAAGATCTCCAGTTACGCGTTTGTGCAGAGTGAGCAGAGGTGGCACAGGGGGCTCGTACCGCCCACGTCGCCGCCTGTGGGAAAGCAGCTGCCATCATTGCAGAGATTTTAACCCATGGCTGGAGCTGTGCACCTGGGAACAGGCACCAGTGGATTCCTCTCTGCCCTTAATTGTTTAAACCCAGCCCGAGTTGGCAAAGCTTGGCAGTGTCACAGTGATAACTCTGAGCCTTGAGCTGCAGGACAAGGAATCGTGGCTGTGCCATCCCTGGAGTTTCCAAGGCCAGCTTGGATGGGTTTGGAGCAACCTGAGGTAGTGGAAGGTGTCCCTGCCCATAGCATGGCTTGGAACTGGATGGGCTTTGAGGTTCCTTCCCACCCAAACCTGTCTGGGATCTTGGTAGCACAGGTGTTAATGGGACAAAGAAAGAATGGATGGTGACTTCCTCACTTGTGGGATGAGGGAACCTGTGCCCCTTGTTCCTGTGCCTTCAGGTTGGGAAATCTTTCTTGGGAGGAAATTTTTCTTGGATTTTCTTTTGAAACTTACACCACTTCAATATCATATAAGTGTTTCAAAGACACTTAGTAAATTTTTTTTTTTTTAATTTTTAAACAAACCTATTAATGAACCTGTATAGTATTTACTAGATTTTTATTTCAAATAATATTTAATAGATTTTTGGTGGTGTTATGTTTAAATTCTTGCAGTGCCAGTTGGCCTTGATCATCCTAAAGGTCTCCTCCAGCTGTAACAGTCGTATAATTCCATGGCTGACTTTGGATGGGATAATATTTTCTCCTTTTAATCTCACTTTTCAAGTATTCAACTGCAGAAAGAACATGCTGGAATTACAGGGACACTAGAATTAATTTTCAGTATTTACTAATACACTTTAAGGGACTGATTCATCAAAAATATTCCAAATTTTTTCTGTTTTCACTTGAGATTTTCAAGGAGCTGTGTATTTTTGCCTGGAATATTTCAAATTGTGAGCTGGACCTGTGTTTACAGATCTATATATAGATAGATAGGTCTGTATATAAATATATTCTCTATCTAAAGCATACAGAACTCTGGTTTGCTTCTTTAGTGAATTCTGGGATTTTAATTTCTCTTTTATTTTTTATTTTGATCCTCTACCTGCCTGTGGAGGGAAGTGTGCCTGCCTGTCTGTCTAGGTATCAGAGAGGTCATGCCAGCATTACAAGGATGAGAAATAGAATCACTGAATAATTTTGGTTGGAACAGATCTCCAAGGCCATCGAGTCCAACCTGTGACTGATCCCCACCTTGACACCTCCAGGGATGGGGACTCCACACTGCCCTGGGCAGCCCCTTCCAGTGCCTGAGCACCCTTTCCATGGAGAAATCCCCCCGGCTGTCCCCTCCTGTCAGGGAGTTGTGCAGAACCAGAAGGTCCCTCCTGAGCCTCCTTTTCTCCAGGCTGAGCCCCTTTCCCAGCTCCTCCAGCCCCTTCCCAGCTCTGTCCCCTGTCCTGGACACGCTCCAGCCCCTCAGTGTCCCCCTGGCCGGAGGACTCAGAACTGGACACAGCCCTGGAGGGGCCGTGCCCTGCCCTGGGGCTCTGCCCACCATGGCTGACACAGCCCACGGGCTCTTGGCCACCTGGGCTCATGTTCAGCCCTATCACCAACACTGCCAGGGCCTTTTCCAGCTTCCCAGCTGCTCTTCCCTGAGCCTGCAGTGTTCCATGGGGTTGTTGTGGGCCAGGGACAGGATCTGGCCCTTGGCCTTGCTGAGCTGAGCCCATGGATCCCTGATCCCTCTGCAGAGCCTTCCTGCCCTCCAGCAGACCCACATCCCCCCAGGTGTGTCTGCAGCTTCCTGGGGCTGCCCTCCATCCCCTCATCCCCATCTCTGATGAAGATAAAAATGTGAAATGGGACTGGGCCCACTGCTGAGCCCTGGGGAGCAGCACTGGTGACCAATCCCAGCTGGATGTGGCCCCATTCCCCACCCCTCTCTGGGCCATGCCAGTTTTTATCCCATGAAAACTGCACTTATCCAAGCCATGAACTGCCAGCTTTTCCAGCAGAATGCCTTGGGAAACATTCCAAAACCTGGCATCTGGAAAATAGAAATGAAGCTGATTTTCACACAGCAACCCTCAGATAATGGACTGGCTGAGTCTTCTCCCTTCTGAGAGAGCTGGATGTGAAATAAATCCCTTATTTCTTGCCTGAGCCTTCAGATAATGGACGGCAGGGAGGAGAGTGGTGAGGCTTTGGAGCACTTAGGAGAGGAAAAACAAGGGAATGGGATGTCTTCCTGGGAAGCTGTTGGATCTGATACAACTCTGCTGATGGACTGGAGGTGCTTGTGTGCACAGTTCACTTCCCAGCCACGTGGAAAATGCAGTGCTGTGGATTCAGCCTTCCCTCTTGCTTTGGGACACAAAGTGCAGAGTAGGAAAAGGAGTAGGAAAAGAATCAGGATAGAGAGAGAAGGGTTTGAAAGGCTGTGAGATCACAGCTCTTCCATCCTCAAGGACAGCAAACACATGGATGGCTCCAGGGAAGCTCTGGATCCTGTGGTGTGTGTGGTGTGGTGTAGTGAGCACCTGCTGCTGTGAGGGAGGCACGGCCTGAACAGGAGGGAATTTGGGGCCATGTTGTTTTAGCAGCTCAGCCAGCACTCATGAAGCGACTTGGGCAGCAAAGGGCACAGGTTCAGCAGTGTTTGTCACCTCAGCCCAGCTCCTCATTAAGCCACTCAAACACAAACTCCCAGGAAAGTCAGAAATCCAGCGTTTTTCATGTGTGGCAGAGCCCGGGCAGCAGCCCTGAGCGAGGCTCAGCCTTCAGATCTTTGGCAGAGTGTTTTCCTCAAACACATCTCTCTGTGTCCCTGAGTCCTGCAGCCAGCCCAGGGCTGCTGAAATGTGCTTGGCAGGAGGCCCTGCAGCCTCCAAAAAGCCAGCTGAGCAAACAGCCCCCAGCTTGAGCAGGAAGCCAGGCAGTTGGGAGGAGGGCAGGAGGGGACAGCAGGACAGGTTCCCTGTCCCAGCACTGCCACCTCCGTGTTTAGGAGGAATTGTGCCTAGCAATTGGCTCACCCTCTGGTTGGGGTGGCAGGGAAAGGCCTTTCTAGTTGTCTGGCATATAATAAACGACCAAAATGACTTTAAATAAAATCTACTTCAAGCTCTGTGTGTCTGGGTTTGGGAATTTGACCTGCAGGAGTGTTGGAAAGAAAGAAAAACAAGGTTGTTTTTTCTTCATGGGGGAGAAAATCCCAGTGGGCTTTTCCTTAATGGCCTTGCTGGAATAAGATTATTCCAGTATATTAGCAGCATGGCATCACTTTGCTCTTTTTGCAGCATCCTTTTGCTCCTGTGGCTTTGCCCCTGGAGCAAACTTTGCATTTGACTCTCAGTGAGCTGAGAGGCCTCAGGAGCTGCACCACAGAGACTCTGCTGGCTGCACATGAGGGTTAATAGCACAAGCCCAAATTCCTTTAGGCTAGTGGAGTTTATGGAGGCCACACCTGCAGCCTGTACGGTTTTACAGCCGTGAACAGGAGTGCAAGGCAGGGAGTAACCACAGGCTGAGTTTAGCTCTGAAGGGCTCTTGTCAGGAGCAGCATTAGGAGCTGGAAATCCAGATACGGACAGCGGAGGGAGAGAAGCATCTTGAGGGGGCTGATGCAGAGAACTCAGGGGAGGCTGTGCCCTGGAGCTCCCACACAGCAGCAGAACTTGCTGCTGCTTTCAAAGCTTGCCCAGAAAGCTGTGGCAGCCCCTGGATCCCTGGAAGTGTCCCAGGCCAGGTTGGACATGGGGGCTTGGAGCACCCTGGGATGGTGGAAAGTATCCCTGCCCTTTGCAGCGAATGGGATGAGCTCTAAGGTCCCTCCCAACCCAAACCATTCTGTGATTCCAGGATTCTTCTCTTCCATTTCAGCCTGTCATAAACACTTCAGCTACTTCCCAGTTTGCAGTCTCCAAACATCCTTCATTCAGCCTGCAGCAACAGTTTTACCTAATTCTGATGCTTTCCCTATTCGTCCCTTCTGTTAGGAGAAGCCAATTGTCTCAGAAGCATCCAGGAAGAGGGAGAGAGACTTGGTAGCCAAAGAAATCGAGAAGTTCCAGGTGTCCATTCAGACTGTGTGTCAGAATGCCTTCAGGCTGGGCAGGATTGTGGATTACATCCAGGAGGACATGGATGCCATGAGGAACGAGCTGCAGACGTGGCGCCAGGAGAACAGGGAGCACGCGGAGGCTTTGCAGAGGGAGCAGAGGTGAGTGTGCCCCAGGGGCAGCTGGGGTTGTCTCTTGGCACAGATTTTAGGGGCCCTTAAAACTTAGAAACAACATAAATATTGAGCCCAGAGCAGGAGTGGATTCCTAAATCCCAGCCTGCTCTTTGTGCCATGGATTCATCGTGTTCTGGTGTGAGTGACAGTTGTTGAAGCAAATTCTCACCTCTGTGTCCTTACACTCCTTGAAAACAGAATATCCCTTCCAGCTGTGTGTGCTGTGATCCTAAACGTGAGGTGGAAATCAGTATTTTTGAAGCCATATTCAACCCAGAGGGATTTGCTGCTCCCTGAATCCATGTACAGAAGCAGCATGGGGGGACCGCTGGCTGAGTCCTCTCCTGGTACAAGCAATGTGTCAGATGTGAGCCCCAAATCAGTGCAGTGAGGCACTTCCAATCCTTAGGACAGGATTACAGAGCAGCAGCTGTGGAGAAGACAATGCTTCCCACACATCCTGGGATTGAGAAGCTCATCCCTGTTTGCTTTGCTTCTGTGACAGATACTTGCAGGATCCCCATGAGGGATTTCCCATGTGATTCCTAGCGATGCCTTTGGTGATTTATGTGGTGGAAGGGAGGGGAAAACCAAAGGATTTGGAGATGTGGATTTTAGCTGTTGAACCCTCGAGTGACTGGGTAGTTCAGAATGACAGCAGGCTCCTGCAGACTGGCATTTCCTGGCTGTCCAGTGTTCCTGAAGATAAGCAGAATTATGGAAGGGGGCACATTTGTTTGAAAACCATTTCGTGATTCACTTAAGATGGAACTTGTGTTCATTAATGCAGGATTTATGAAATTTTCTGTTAGTGTGGCATTGCCTGTCCTTGCCAGCAACTCTTGATGGCTCCTTTTTTATATCATGGAATCATAGCATAGTTTGGATGGACATCCAGTGCCACACCTGCCATGGGTAGGGACACCTTCCCCTTTCCCAGGTTGCTCCAAACCGTGTCCAACCTGGTCTGGGACAATTCCTGGGATCCAGGGGCAGCATCTCTGTCCCTTGTCCCAGAGTTCAGCAGAAAAACCAGAAGAGCCAAGAAGTGATTTTTACTGTTGAGTTATGGGTGATCTCCCTTAAATAATATTCACCTCTGACCATGTTATTAGCTTTGTCTTTGTGCTTCTTATTCCAAACTTTCTTTCAGGAAAGGTGGGAACAACTTAAAGGCCAGGCTTGACAGGGCTTGGAGCGCCCTGGGACAGTGGAAGGTGTCCCTGCCCAGGGCAGGGGGTGGGACTGGATGGGCTTTGGAAGGTCCCTTCCAACCCAAACCATCCTGGGATTCTGTGATTCCATGAAATACTTTGCAGCCTTTCAGGTATTCAAATGTACTTTCTCGGAGGATTAAATAGCCTGAAGCAGCTTGAAAGTTTCCAACAACATCACACTCCTTGTGTCTCTTCCAGCATCACAGACAGTGCTGTGGAACCACTAAAAGCTGACCTGGCTGAACTGGAGCAGCTGATTAAAGACCAGCAAGACAAGATCTGTGCTGTAAAAGCAAATATTTTAAGGAATGAAGAAAAAATCCAGAGGATGGTTCTTAGCATAAACTTGTCTTCAAGAAGGTGAAGAAGAGGGAAGAGAAATTAAAGAGCCTTGGGACTCACTGACTGATATTGCTACCAAAAAACCAAAATCCAAATAGCAGATATACCTTGTTCAGGTATAAAATGTTTAGGGACCAGAACCCTAAAAATTGTATAAAAAAAACCCATTATTACATTGATTTTTAGATGTTGATATTATGCAGGATAAAATTATATTCACTTGAATACTCCAGTTGCAGAGCTATTAAAAGAACTTGTTTGTTTAATTGTGAGCTGCTGTTTCTCACTTCCCTTTCCCTCCCTGGCCATTTCTCCCTTCATCTCCTTCTCCTTATCTCCCTGAAATTCCCTCTGAACACACTGTCCTGAAAAATGGGTATTAAGAAAGTATTTTCCCCCCTTAAATGTTCCAAGCTCTGGCAGGTCAGAAGGTTCCTGAATCCTGTTCAGAGCTATCAGGAATCTGATTAGGACCAAGTGAAAATGCAATTCGAGCATCATCACGTAAGGGAGCTGAAGTGTTTTATCTGCACAGGTGTTAATTCCATTTTTATTGCATATGTTCATTTGGAAGGGATTAATTTAAGTAGCTGTTTCCTCCCCAATGCATGTCCTCGTAGCTTTTTCTACGGGAATAATTCCACTGATTTTTCTTTAGTGAACTGCAGATGTCTGTTTTCCTAATGACCCCTGGAGTGTTCTGCCCATGAGAGTCCAGCATTAGCGATTCCTAGATCTGCAAAGAGTATTAGTGCAGACACAACTGTGTGACTCTGTGCTGGGTGCAGAGGCTTTACTCCCCTGCAAGGCTGTTGCCAAGGATTTTATGATGTTGTTTGGGTCCTGGATGAAGTGTTAGTGGTCTTGTTTTTCCTTCTTTCATTGGTGTATCTATGTTTTTTTGGGTTGGTTTCTTGGTTTGGTTTTTTTTTTTTTTCCTTCGTGGTTTCTTTATCTGGTGTCTGGACCTAAAAGTCTACCAAATTATCATCATCATAACATGAGTGCTTAGGGTGTTAAATACAGACATTTGGAAGGATGGGAGGCTTTGCTATGTGGGGTTTTGGAGGGAGTAGAGAAGCATTTGGGGGCTTGAGAAGGAAGAGGAGAAATATTTTGATCTCTTGTAACAACGGCCTGTGACACTGAGCTCTTTGTGTTTGCATGGCCCTTTTCCAATACCTGAAGTGCATTCTGGGTCTCAGCACATGAAGGAAAAGGGGTTCAGGATGTTCAGTAGCTCCCCCACAGCCCAGAACTGTTGGTGAAAACCTTTTCCCTTTAAATACTTGGATTGTACAAGTACTTGGGATTTTGGTGGGATTGCTCAGATTCCTGCTTAGGTGGTGTTTGCCCCCATGAGCTTCCTGCTGCTCCAAGCCACCCCTGAAGGGCACAGAGAGATTTGTCACCTGTCCCCCAGCCTTTGTCACTCCTTGGTCCCCTCCCATGGCCCTTTGCATGCAGAAAATCCAGCGTGGTGCTGCTGGAGCCTGGCACTGGCAGGAAAGCAGGATGGGAGCACCAGCAAGTGTTCTGCAGAGACATGGAGGGACTTCTGGGTTAAACAGGATTTCAACCGTGATTTTTCCTTTCCCTCAGCTGCTCCATGAAGTTCCCTTCAGCCTGCCCTCATCCTGTCCCTGCTGATGGGCTCCGAGTGGTCTTTGCCTGCTGACATGACCCTCGTGTCCGTCTGTCCTTATGTGAGAAGTGCCTGTCCCTTCTCAGGGTGGGGAGCTTGGGCTTGGAGGCCTGGGAGACACCTCAGGGATGACTTTTTGCGTCTTTATGTGCCCATTTTCTTGTGCTTGCTGACCAAATATCACTTCAAACAACTGCTTGCTATCAAGGTTTAACAGCATTTGAACATCATGAAGCCTTAATTAACTCTCTGGATTTGTTATGTTTTCCAGGGATGGAACAAAGCCTCGAAGCTGAGGCAGGTTGAGGAGGCAGCACCAAAAAAGCAAAGGGAGCAGCTGTGCCTGGAGGAGGGGATAGGGGATGTGTGTGTGCACACCCAGAGCCGGGAGTTGTGTTTCAGCCTGTGGGTGGTTCATTAGCAAAGGAAACTTTGCCGGAGAGGTGGTTTGGGACTGAAAGCCCTTCTCATTGTCAGCCCCGGCGGCGCTAATGGAGCCTGACAGTTCTGGGAAGCAGGATTTGTGTTTCACGACGTGCCTGACATTCCTGTGCCGTGCAGGTCGGGAGCGGGCTGCCAGCCCCTCCACCTTCAGGCCGGGAATGTTTCTCAGCTGGAAAGGTGCAGCTGGCGGCAGGGCAGGGAGGGACACAGGGGGGTGACAGGACCTGCCCAGGTCAGGAGCACTCAGGGACAGCCAGAGGAGGCTGGAAGGAAGGGGACAGTGGGGTGAGCTCAGAGGTCTCCACTGGAACTCTGACATCTGTGAGTGTTGGAGGCTGTTCCAAGGGTGGGAATGGCAGAGTTTTCTTTTTGTCTTCAGGAGTGCAAGGGAAAGGAAGGCTGGAGTGCTGAGGTGTGTGACATGGCATTTGGATGGAATTTAGGTACTAGAGTGTCCAGCTGGGGTTGTGAGGGACCCTCTGCTCACCAGGGACACCAGTGCCCAGGGTCCCCAGTCCAGCTACCCTGCTCATCTGAGCTGCTTCCATACCAGCTGATTTCCTGAGCACCAGAGGGAGCAGCTGGAGCTGGGCCAGGGCAGGGTCAGGCTGGATATCAGGGCAAGGTTCTTCCCCCAGAGGGTGCTGGGCACTGCCCAGGCTCCCCAGGGAATGGGCACAGCCCCAGAGCTCCAGGAGCGTTTGGACACTGCTCCCAGGGATGCTCAGGGTGGAATTGTTGGGGTGTGTGTGCAGGGCCAGGGGTTGGATCAATGCTTCCTGTGGGTCCTTTGAACTCTGGACACTCTTAACCCCAAATTCCCACTCCCCTGGTGTCCTGCAGTGTCCCCAGGGGGGACAGAGCTCACTCTTGTTGTGGCCCTGCTGGGAAATGTGTGGCTGTGGGATGAACACGTGTGGAGCGATGTGGAAGTGTTGTGGCAGCTTTGGCCTCAGAGGTGAATGCTGAGGGCTCTGTGTCTTCCCAGGCTGTGGCTCCAGGCTGTGGCTCCAGGCTGTGGCTCCAGGCTGTCTGCTGGCCCGGGAAAAGAGTTCTACCTCTGCTCCCGTCTTGTTATCCTCACCAACATTGCAATTTTTGCCTTGAAATCAGGCATTTTTGTGGGACATCCCATCTTCAACTCAGCTGTGATGTCCTTGAGTCCAGTCTGGGTTTCTCACTCCCTTGAGCTGATGCCTGCTTTTGCTGGTCTTGCTCCAACAGTTTTGCTTGAAATACAAAATATTCCAGTGATTTTTAAAAATCTTTTTCTCCCCGAAGCAACCACCACAGACTGATGCTGTAGGAGAGAAAGGCAGGACTGTGGCTGTGGAGAAGTGTTTAAAGGGTTTTTGGGAATGTGTCCTCCAGCAGGAGAATCCAAACGGGTGGGTTGGCACTAAGACTTTACTTATCTAAAATGGCTGGACTCTGCCTCCAATGAATTTCTGATCTTTCCTCCTCCCATATTTACCCTTGTGGAGGTGAGCCAGTCTAGCACAAGGGATGGATTTGGGATCTTCCAGCCATGGAGTCTCCTTCAGCTCTTGCAGAGCCCCAGGCAATCTCTACAACTCCCTGGAAAACTCCCTGCAACACCAAGGCCCGTCTCTTCCCTGCCCTGTTTTGTGAAAAAACATGGCAAAATAACATTTCCATTTTCCAGGGAGAAATGTAATTAAAAGGAGTTAAGAGACATGGTTTATAGTTTAATTTAACGTGATGAAAAATGGATTAGCTCCCACTCCTTCCCACCCAAATCCACGAGCTGATGGCAGCCACAGGAGGAAAAGGTTTCCCAGGAGAAGAATTCCCCCCCCAGATTTATGACTTGTGAGGCAGAGGTTGCTTAGGTTTAATTTTGTTTTGTGCCCTTCTGGCTCCCCCAGGCTTGGCTTTGTTGTGTGCCCAGGAGTGGGCAGGAATGGATGGATTTGGCTCCTTTTTTGAGGTCGCTAGTGTGCTCAGGTGCTGGCTGGGTCACTGAGGCTCCTGGCTGGGTGTGTTCAGGAACAGGCAAGGTGGGCTTTGCTCTCCCAGCTGTTTTCCCCTTTTGGGGCATTTTTTGGCTAGTGAGGAGCATCGGGCAGAAGGCAATGGGCTCGCTCTGCCCTGTGCAGGATCAGGCAGAGAATCAAGAGGAGAAACAAACTACCTGAACTAACAGAAGAAATTTCCTTTCTCTGGGAAGAACAGCAGATCCTGCATGGCCAGGGCATAAGAGGACTTGTCCCCTCTCTGAAGAAGGGTGAGTCCTTCTCCTTACATCAAACTGAAAATACTTTCTTGCATCCAGGACAAAACTACAGCATCTCACATTTGTCCCACTCTCCTAAACAAATCTCAAAGTTCAACAGAGAGTTTTGATAATAAATAGGGGACTGAGTGGGTCTAGAAGGAAAGGGATGGGGGAAGTGGGACAGGAGCTGCCCAGTGTCTCCTCGTTCCTGGGCTGGCAGCCTAGCCACAGGGATTGTTTCCTGGCCAGCAGCTTTCCCTAGGATTAGCTCGGTGGCACGAGGTGCAGCATTTCTCCCGTGCTTTCAGATTTCCTCTGCTTTTTGGAACAGCATCTGCTGCTGCTGGAGCCCAAGTGTCAGCTGAGCTTGGGAGGAGCTGGGGATCCACGTCTGGGAAGGAGAAGCTGTTTGGATAAGCAGCAGTTGCTCCGAGCTGGAGGTTCCAAGCTGTTCTGGCTTTCACCTCCGGAGGGAGAAAAGAAGTTTTCCTGTCCAATTCAAATAATGTCGGCAGAACTTCCAGTGCACGTTACAGGGCTGGAAGCTGGAGTGAACCTGAGGTGGGGCCTGGGTTGGCATCGGGGGCTGGAGCACAGGAGGGGACAGTAATGACCACGAGTGACACTGGTGGCCAGAACACAGAGACCTGGGCTTCCTTGGAATCCCAGAGGGATTTGGGCTGGAAGGGACCTTACAGCTCATCCCATTCCACTCCTACCATGGGCAGGGACACCTTCCACTACCCTAGGGTGCTCCAAGCACCGGTGTCCAAACTGGTCTGGGACAATTCCAGGGATCTAGGGACAACCACAGCTTCTCTGGGCACCCTGTGCCAGCAGTTTATTCTCCTCACTTCCTGCTAAAGGCAGACAAACAGCCCTTAACCATTTGCACAATGCTGTTTGATTTTAGTTTATTTTAACTGGAGAAGAGTGGG